TCATTCATTCATTCATTCATTCATTCATTCATTCATTCATTCATCCATCCAGAAATGACGAGTTAATAATCGCAATTGTCCGTATGGAAAGTGCGCTAAAAAATAAACGATACATCTATCTATTAAATGGGAACGCTAGACAAACTATCCATCGATAGCTACTCCATTGAGTTTTTACGAACATGAGTAAAACAAGTGTAATACTTTTACAAGTTTTTATTTAAATTATAATTTCTTTGACCGGGTGGATTAGCAGTCATTTCTTGTTATTCAATTTCGTCTTAATTCTAAAATAGTAATTTTTGTTTAGTAAAAACATGAATCGTTCAGGTGTATCAGATATGTCAAAAACGACCAACACTTTTAGTTATGTAAAAAAAAAATTAATTGTATTTAAAAGCTTGTTGGCTAAAAAACGTGTTTTATTTTTTTAAATTTTACTTTACTCTGTTAGTAAGTTTTTAATAAGAATATTTCTAAAAATATTTTAACTAGGCTTATCAGAGTTCCTCCTAAGGGGCATACATAAATGACGTCACGCTTTTTTGGACGATATTAACCCCCCTCCCTCCCCTCCGTCACACGTCGTCACAAAAAGCCAGACCCCCCCTCTAAAATGACGTCACACCTCAGCCTACACCCCTCCCCCCTCAAAATGCTGTTGAATTTTTCTTAAAACATCGATATTTTTCCAAAATCTTGTCAGAACACTGTCAACATAGTGTATTTTGATCAATTCTTATTACAATTTATTAAAACCGTTTTCTAAAACGCGAAATAACGACTATAACTCGTTTTTTAACATTGCTTTTTTATTATGCAAAAAAAGTGACGTCACACCATCTGAACCCCCCCCCCTCCCCCTCATCACAGACCGTCACAAAATTACGGACACCCCCTTCCCCCCTATGAGTGTGACGTCATTTATGGACGACCCCCAAGTTCTCGGAGTTTGTGTAAAGACTTTTTAATTTTTTTTCAAAATTGCGAAATCGAAATAAAAAAAACATAAAAAACAACAACATCGGCCTATGCAGATTAAAAGATGAGCAGATCAATGGCCAGACAGGGCGTGTCCAGAGTTAGTCATGCAGGTCACGTGAGATCTTACGTCACAGATGTGGCTGAACATGAGCTCTCATCATGTGCAAACGACACATCACGAGAAGGTTGTTGACATTTCGCAGTGCTGGCTCGGCTCTGAGCCAAACGAAACAACATCGACAGGGCCGTGTATTATACAGAGGACAGCTGTTGCCGAGAAGATGCTTTCAATGGTGTCAGAAGTATCGGACTGACAATAGGTTAAAGTTTGCTAACGGAAAGGTTTACTTTATAAATATTTCAGATCACAGTTTTAAGATTCTTGTATAAAAATAGCATTTCAAATGTAAATTTGCTCAAATAAAATCTAGTAGTGTGTGGATCACAATTTTAAGATTATTTTGTTTCAAAATAGCATTTCAAACTTTTATGGGGATTTGAAATTTACGTAAGGGGCCGGGGGGGGGGGGGGGGGGAAGACTGTTAAAAGTATATATTTTCTACATTATTTTTTTTCTATTTCAGTCAGGGGGTCGGGGATTGGTGTGTCTGGACAGTAACCCTGATGAAAGCAAGCCAGCAACCTCGTCTGTCGCTAGCTATCGCTCTAAGCCAGATATTGGGCTAATACTAATCTGTTATTACATGGGCGTCGTCCATCGCTCTATGCCAGATATTGGGCTAATACTAATCTGTTATTACATGGGCGTAGTACATCGCTCTAAGCCAGATATTGGGCTAATACTAATCTGTTATTACATGGGCGTCGTCCATCGCTCTATGCCAGATATTGGGCTAATACTAATCTGTTATTACATGGGCGTAGTACATCGCTCTAAGCCAGATATTGGGCTAATACTAATCTGTTATTACATGGGCGTCGTCCATCGCTCTATGCCAGATATTGGGCTAATACTAATCTGTTATTACATGGGCGTAGTACATCGCTCTAAGCCAGATATTGGGCTAATACTAATCTGTTATTACATGGGCGAAGTACATCGCTCTAAGCCAGATATTGGGCTAATACTAATCTGTTATTACATGGGCGTAGTCCATCGCTCTAAGCCAGATATTGGGCTTATACTAATCTGTTATTACATGGGCGTAGTACATCGCTCTAAGCCAGATATTGGGCTAATACTAATCTGTTATTACATGGGCGTCGACCATCGCTCTATGCCAGATATTGGGCTAATACTAACCTGTTATTACATGGGCGTCGACCATCGCTTTAAGCCAGATATTGGGCTAATACTAACCTGTTATTACATGGGCACACGGGCGTAGTCCATCGCTCTAAGCCAGATATTGGGCTAATACTAATCTGTTATTACATGAGCGTAGTCCATCGCTTTAAGCCAGATATTGGGCTAATACTAACCTGTTATTACATGGGCACATGGGCGTAGTCCATCGCTCTAAGCCAGATATTGGGCTAATACTAATCTGTTATTACATGAGCGTAGTCCATCGCTCTAAGCCAGATATTGGGCTAATACCAATCTGTTATTACATGGGCGGCGTCCATCGCTCTAAGCCAGATATTGGGCTAATACTAATCTGTTATTACATGGGCGTCGTCCATCGCTCTAAGCCAGATATTGGGCTAATACTAACCTGTTATTACATGGGCACATGGGCGTCGTCCATCGCTCTAAGCCAGATATTGGGCTAATACTAATCTGTTATTACATGAGCGTAGTCCATCGCTCTAAGCCAGATATTGGGCTAATACCAATCTGTTATTACATGGGCGGCGTCCATCGCTCTAAGCCAGATATTGGGCTAATACTAATCTGTTATTACATGGGCGTCGTCCATCGCTCTAAGCCAGATATTGGGCTAATACCAATCTGTTATTACATGGGCGGCGTCCATCGCTCTAAGCCAGATATTGGGCTAATACTAATCTGTTATTACATGGGCGTCGTCCATCGCTCTAAGCCAGATATTGGGCTAATACCAATCTGTTATTACATGAGCGTAGTCCATCGCTCTAAGCCAGATATTGGGCTAATACTAATCTGTTATTACATGGGCGTCGTCCATCGCTCTAAGCCAGATATTGGGCTAATACCAATCTGTTATTACATGGGCGTCGACCATCGCTCTATGCCAGATATTGGGCTAATACTAACCTGTTATTACATGGGCGTCGACCATCGCTTTAAGCCAGATATTGGGCTTATACTAACCTGTTATTACATGGGCACACGGGCGTAGTCCATCGCTCTAAGCCAGATATTGGGCTAATACTAATCTGTTATTACATGAGCGTAGTCCATCGCTTTAAGCCAGATATTGGGCTAATACTAACCTGTTATTACATGGGCACATGGGCGTAGTCCATCGCTCTAAGCCAGATATTGGGCTAATACTAATCTGTTATTACATGAGCGTAGTCCATCGCTCTAAGCCAGATATTGGGCTAATACCAATCTGTTATTACATGGGCGGCGTCCATCGCTCTAAGCCAGATATTGGGCTAATACTAATCTGTTATTACATGGGCGTCGTCCATCGCTCTAAGCCAGATATTGGGCTAATACTAACCTGTTATTACATGGGCACATGGGCGTCGTCCATCGCTCTAAGCCAGATATTGGGCTAATACTAATCTGTTATTACATGAGCGTAGTCCATCGCTCTAAGCCAGATATTGGGCTAATACCAATCTGTTATTACATGGGCGGCGTCCATCGCTCTAAGCCAGATATTGGGCTAATACTAATCTGTTATTACATGGGCGTCGTCCATCGCTCTAAGCCAGATATTGGGCTAATACCAATCTGTTATTACATGGGCGGCGTCCATCGCTCTAAGCCAGATATTGGGCTAATACTAATCTGTTATTACATGGGCGTCGTCCATCGCTCTAAGCCAGATATTGGGCTAATACCAATCTGTTATTACATGAGCGTAGTCCATCGCTCTAAGCCAGATATTGGGCTAATACTAATCTGTTATTACATGGGCGTCGTCCATCGCTCTAAGCCAGATATTGGGCTAATACCAATCTGTTATTACATGAGCGTAGTCCATCGCTTTAAGCCAGATATTGGGCTAATACTAATCTGTTATTACATGGGCGTCGTCCATCGCTCTAAGCCAGATATTGGGCTAATACCAATCTGTTATTACATGGGCGTCGTCCATCGCTCTAAGCCAGATATTGGGCTAATACTAATCTGTTATTACATGGGGGGGGGGGGGGGGGGGCTCCATGTCGCTAAGCCAGATATTGGGGAAATTCTTATGTTATTAATTGTCAGTGATGACATGTTTTTTTGTCACTTTTCATCCAACCCCTAAAAAAACTTTTTTTAAACAGATATTTTTAAAAATAAATATTAACTTATCCGGGTCAAGAGGAGGAAAATTAATCAACTTGTATTATTATTTACGAAAAAAAAACAACCCCAAAGATCTAGACAAGTTAGTGAGAAAACGGTAATGTAGGTCTTTTTTTAGTGGCCAGTGCACATGAGTGACGGTACACATCTTAAATGGATTAACCTTTTAAGTTAATTTCAAGTAATTAACGATACCATAAAAAAAATCCTCAACGAAAATGCCAATGAGAGAGACATGGAGGGAGGGAGAGAGAGGCTAAGGACGGACATTTCACATTTCTTACACTGTGACCATTCACATCCCTGAGTTCTTTGTTTAGTGGAATTTTCTGTTTGCCCATTATTTTATTTTCGCGCGTTTTACCATTTTGCGATTTCATATTGTATATTTTTTGGTGGCTGTGATGACACAAGTCAGGCTAATTATAAATAGGTCAAACAGAAAGGAGAACAGTCATGTACAATAGCCATAGGTCAGACAGACGGATTAGCTAAATTAGCTAGAATAGGTAGGAACCAATGAGAAGTTTGAAGCGAACAGAATGTGATTTTAACATTTACACACACTGTTTTAAATTTTTTTTTAAAGTAAAATGCAAATAATTTTATATAGAAATATTTTTATTTCCAAATTTCTTAAAAGCTTTGTTATTTTATTTTATTTCAATTTTACTGCATTTAATTATTTTCCAAATAAACAGAGTTATCGTTCATCAATCTCAGTTATGTTAACTCTTTAGACGTTTCTCCATCCAAGGGAAATCACTTATCTCCGCCTGCATCATCAGCTGGTGCGGGTGTTACTCGAGAGCTATCTCCCCTCTTTTGAGCTCTTGCAGATTCCGCAAGCTTTCTCAGGGTTTCTGCTGATGGTTTTCTCCTGATCAACTGTTCGCTTGGGGAAATGGCAGACATGACGATCTGATCAATAAAAAAAACTATTATAATATGAGCTTGTCAAAACTTCTTTTAAATACAATTGTTGGGTTTGCAAATTCGTACTTTCAATGTTATAGCCGTTCAGATAAATTACCAATAAAGTTCTTCTATCTCATATTTGTTGGCAAAACGTTTACATTCTTAGACAAGAAAAAAAAGGCTAATCGTGTGTGCTGATATTCTTCTTCCTCGTTCTTAATTTTAGTCCTGGAAGGGATGCCATCCATCACAATTAAGTATACGTGTCAACTGGTTATGAGCCATTGAGGCAATTGACTCCGATTTCAGCATAGAAGAGTGGCTGTCCACAGCTAACGAGCCTCATCTGCCCGAGGGTTCGAACTCGAGACTTTTCGGTTCAGCAAACAATAAGCTTTACCCCTTGTGTGTTGGTGAATTTAGAGAATTATTTCTGCTAAAGTAACTTAAAGCGCCACTTTTTTTAAACATTTAATATTATGGGTCTATTTAAAAATTGTCAACTCTTAACTTAAATCAACTCATTTCTTTGTAGCGAGATCTTACACGACTATGAAACAAACTTACAAGAATTACATTCTGTCATATAAAGAGATACAAGCCGGGTAGTTGAGAGATATTTTGTCCTGAGACATTTTGTCTTAACATCCTTTATTCTGCCCCCCCCCCCCCTCCCTAACCGAACATAAACGCTTAATATTTAAATCAAGTAAATAAAGTCCAGGTGGTGGATCAATAGCCCCATGATCGTGAGTTCAAATCCTAGTCAGAAAACAGTGTAAGCGTACAGAAAATAATGGCTGCAGTCTGATTTATTGTAGCAAGTTCTATTGTTTGCTATACTACGTAATGCCATAAGTCGGTAGTTCAAACTACTAATGACCTGATTTTCTACACATTGCTAGATGAAATTCACATTTTTAATTACCAGCGTATAAGATAAAAATAGAAATACTTGCTGTTTTAGTTGAAAGATGTCAAAAAAAAAAAAAAGAAACAAAAAAAAAACCAAAAAAAAAAAAAAAAAAACAACAACCGATTTACTATTTATAACGTGCAAATAAAAGTCTATAGTTTTTTAAACTGCTACGTATGTCAACTACTCACCAATACACACATGAAAATAACTAAGGCCTTCATTTTGACAAACTTGTATCAAACAAAGGTGCTGGAAAACAAAGTCCGGCTACTCCTGACACGTCCTCAGTTAGCCCTTTTATATGTTGTTTAAATCACGTGCGTGCTCCGACAAATCCACGTAAATGCAGTCTGTCAATTTATTGAGGATATTTCCCATGCAGAGGGCGAACATTTTATTGAAGTTATTTCACATGCAGGGGACGTACACTTTATTGAAGATATTCATATGAAAGGGACGTATATTAAAGATATTTCACATGCAGGGGACGGACATTTAAGATATTTCACATGTAAAGGACGTACACTTTATTGAAGATATTTCACATGCAGGACGTACATTTAAAAATATTTCACATTATGAGGACGAACATTTTATTGAAGTTATTTCACATACAGAGGTGGCTGGACATAGTGCTGACCACACCATCCCCTTCATACGGCGAGATCGAGAAACATATGAACTCTACTTCATCTGCCCTACGGTTCGGTAAGTCTAAATTGGAAACTTTAATCAGGTACACATCAGAATTATGAACAGAGTTTCTTCCAGGCATCTCTTCGGGGGGGGGGGGGGGGGCCAAGCCCCCCCCCCGAAAATTTTTTACCGCCCCCCCCCCCCCCCCGAACGAAATGAAATTTATATAATTTATATAGAAAATATATACTTTTAACAGTGTCCACCCACCCCCCCCCCGAAGAAAGTTTACCGCCCCCCCCCCCGAAGATTTCAAGTGCCCCCCCGGAGAAAAAAGTCTGGAAGAAACACTGATTATGAAAATAGGAAACACCTCATAGCATCTCATCAGTTTTTCATTCAACACAGTTTTTCTTCCAGGCTTTTTTTCTCAGGGGGGGGGGGGGTGACTTGACATTTCCGGGGGGGGGGGGAGGATTACATTTTCTGGGGGGGGGGGGCAGACACTGGTAACAGTATATGTTTTCTATATAAATTCCATTTCGTTCGGCGGGGGGAGGGGGGTGGACTCTTTCCCCCCCCCCCCCCCCCAAACCGGAAAGATGCATGGAAGAGACTCTGATTCAACAGAACACATATTTCTCTAAATTTTCGATTTCGGTAACTACTTGCACATACGTGCTTTTAACAGAGTATGGATGGTTTAAAAAAAAACAACCATCCAATATCTGGATGAATAATTTTAAGCATCTGGCGTGAGATACCCATAATCCCTTTGTTAATCCATTCCTAGGGATTAAGTTGTCAATTTACATTTGCGCAGTTTGCATTCTTTATTCTGCTCTTATATTTTTGAAAATGCATTTAAAATAGAAATAATGTATTTAAAATTGTTACATTTTATTTGCGTTTATGTAGACTTAACCAAGAGCAGATACCCCAGATACTTTAATAACATCCTCAGCAGATGTATTACATAACTATCTGTTAATTGTCACACACCCCCCCCCCCCCATTTTTATAACGAAATAAAATATGTCTAATAAGGCATCGTACACATAAGTCTGATATGAAAAGGGGTATTGGTATCGCAGTTCTATATTATGTTGTCAGTGCCTGCGCCAGGTTATTTAGCGCCCTAGGCAAAACTTATTACAACGCCCCCTTTCACACAAATTAGTTTATAAAACATAATGTATAAGAAAACAATTAGTTAAAAGTGGCATATTAATTTATTATAAATTGCATACACGTTATAATATGTAGACATCAAAATCAAATTATATTTGCCTCCTTCGTCGCAAAAGTCTGTACAAACTCCTTCAATTCCAGTGTGGAAGCGTAATCACATTCTATTGAAATTGTTGCTAAGTACAATAGCAATATAAACAGAAAGTGATATTTCAACGCCAATGTTAGACTAAGGTCAGAGGCGTAGCGAAGGGGGGGGGGGGTGGGGGGGACATATGTCGCCGGGCGCTGACCTTAGGGGGAGGGGCACCAAAATGGATTGGAAAAAGATATTGAAAGTTTGAGGGGGGGGGGAGGTGCAAACGAAAAGTTCAAGGGGGGTGCAAATCGAAAGTTTGAGGGGGGGGGGGTGCAAAGGAAAAGTTCGAGTGGGGGTGCAAATCGAAAGTTTGTCCCCGGGCGCCGGGAAGGGTCGCTACGCCTCTGACTAAGGTACAGAACAAAGTCCAAGTAGAGACAGAGCAGTTTTTAAACCCAACGGGATCCGAACCTACCAATCTACGCGGCATCAAATCGCCTCGCCTTCTATGCATCAAGTCAGACATAAACACTTCTGCCAATCAGCTCTACAAAAATAGAGCTTTCATGGCAGACCAAGGCCACGAGACTACTTTAAGACATAGCCCCACCCATCCCTCCACCCCAAAATTTAAAGTGCCCCATCCCCTCCCCGTGAGAAAAAAGACTGGAAAAAAAACACTGAAAAAAAGTTCTTGTGGTGTTAGGCTCTCTGCAGACCTCCCAAGGTGAGTTCCAGAACGGAACTTACCTGCTTTAAGCTTGACTGTCTTTAGTTACAATTGTAAAATGTCTATATTGTGTGATTATGTAACGATTTTTTTGTTTTTGAAAAATAAAAGTTTGTAAATGTTATAGATTCCAGCCTACACGTATTATATAAGAATCATTTAGGAGAGGGTGAAAAATATCAAAAAGACAATTAATTAGAGTATTTATTTTCGACTAAGACGCTTTTAGACACATTAGTTGCACAATCTCATACTGTATGTCTACTAATATTAAGTATTGCAATCTGCAACGGCTACTGATGTATTTGTTTTTCAACTTGTTAATGCTAAAAAACAACCTACTAGACTGTTTTGTTTAGAACTTCAGCTCTATATAATTTTTTACAATAGCTAATAATAACTTAAAGTTGTATTTATAAGTAATAAATTATCTCCCATTTGGAAATCCAAATACCAAAATTTCTTTCAAGGGAAATAACTTTCACAAGAATAGCTAAATTAACCAAGTGTAACTAAGACATGCATGAGAAACACAATAAAACTCTCTAAATTTCAATACATAATCATTAAACCTAATTTTTTATATTAATTATGTATCCTTGTCAAAACAATACATTTTACCAATTGACTACTTAAATGTAGGTTGTTTGAAAGTATAAACATAGTAGCTTTATTATAACAAACTACTAGTCAATATCGATGACATCACTTCATTGTTACTGCGTTTCCCATTTTTTACTTTCTCGCATATAGATCTACGAAGTATAGAGAAAGTCTTGTAATCGTGCAAAAAAAAAAATAGAGATTTTTGCAAATCTCGACGTTTTACATCTCACTGATACGGAAAAACATAATTTTGCAATCTTGTCCGTATGTCTGTGTGTGTGTGTGTGTGTGTGTGTCCGTGTGTAAACACGATAACTTGAGTACCGTTACAGCTAGGTTAATGAAATTTAATATATAAGTATTTTATCAAAATCGGAGATCCGTATCAAGTTTTGAGCGATTTCCGATAACCGGAAGTGGTACTTTTTCTACTTTGAATTTTTCAAAAGCCTATAACTTGAGTACTATTTCAGATAGATAAATGAAATTTGAAATGTAAGTAAAAGATCTAATTCTCTTCGTTCTGTCAAATTTTGAGTAATTTCCGTTGAACGGAAGTACTTATTTACGCTATTTCCGATTTCTCAAAAAACGCATTTTAATTTATAAAGTACTAATAATATTGCGCACTATTATGCACATCTTTATTTAGCGTTCACCTGGTGTGTATTTCTTTTTTCTACGAGATTATATTCTATTTTAAAATAAACCGGGAGTGATCTCCCCTAAACTTTCTCGAATATTCTTATATAAAACAACAGGGATGGGAACTCGGGCTATAGACATGATTTTTAATCCATTTTAAATACTTAAAGTTTTAAAAATAGAATAAAATCTCGTAGACAAAAGAATTGCACACCAAGTGAACGCCAAATAAAAAAGTGCATAATAGTGGGCAATATTATTAGTACTTTAAAAATTTACATTAGTTTTTTGAGAAATCGTAAGTAGCGTAGATTACTACTTCCGGTCAACGGAAATTACTCAAAATTTTAACAGAAGGTAGAGAATTAGATCTTTTACTTACATGTGAAATTTCATATATCTATCTGAAATAGTACTCAAGTTATAGGCTTTTAAAAAATTCAAAGTAGAAAAAATACCATTTCCGGTTATCGGAAATCGCTCAAAAGTTGATACGGATCAAAGATTTTGATAAAATACTTAAATCTGAAATTTCATCAACCTAGCTGTAGCGGTACTCAGTGGCGTCGGCAAGGGTTAGGTCCCCTATATATATATATATATATATATATATATATATATATATATAGGGGTCCATGGGAGGGGTTATATTATATTATATATATATATATATATATATATATATATATATATATATATATATATATATATATAGAGAGAGAGAGAGAGAGAGAGAGAGAGAGAGAGAGAGGGAGGATTGTATGCATATGGAAAAATGTTTGAACCCCTCCCGTGACCAATTCCTGGCTACGCCACTGAGCGTTACAATGTTACGTCTACATTAAAAATGTTGACTTACCCTAATCGTTACGCGTTTCTCTCGACATTTTCCTTTGGTTCTGCGTGTGGTCATGAAGCTGAACAATCCAACAAAATCAATTTTAAATTAATGTGCGTGAGTTATTTCCCCTTTTAAAAGCTTCCAATTCTTCAATTTACAATTTTGTTTGTTTTTTTCTTCTCCATCTTTTTAATGCCCCAAACACCATTTCATTTTACGGCTTTAAGTATTTACCAGAGAATATTTACTTCTCACGACAACAACAAATAAAAAATAAAACAGTTTTAATACGTTGTAGAAACTTGGTTAGCTTAAAATAAGGTTCGCAGTTTTCCTTCCAAAAACTAAATCTTCAAGACTATGGGGGATGGGTGAGGTGGGGGTTAGACTATAAAACATGTTAAAGAAATTATTAGAAACATACATATACTATCTATACAACCATATACCATATACACACCCTATATCATCCACAAACCGTACACCATTTACACACCTCTATACCATCCACGTCCCTATATAACACACACACCCTGATACCATCAACACACCACCATACCACACAAACACCTCTTTTCCATCAACACACCTTACCCATCCTCTAAAATTTCCCACCCAAAATAGATGTAAGACCTTGAAAAGCTAGCCCATTTTAAAAGCGTATTGTTTTTTAATGGGCTATGTATATCAGGAATACAAATTAACTGGTATAAAAGGACAAAAAAAATTTGATTAGATTAAAAAAGACACAAGTTTTAGATGAGATGCTTCTGGTTCAAATGAGAAAAGTTGGTTTAACGAATGTCCTGCTTTGTCTTTCGTGACTACCGCCACTCGCCCGTGTTTTAATTTTTAATTAAGTAAATTAGATGCATGCTGTGTGTTCAATCAAAGTTTAATGCTATTGAGACCTTGAGCAGTAGAAAAAAGTTCTTTAAATAGGACACTACGGTACTAAGGATATATGCCCTAGTTCTTTTATAATATCACTTACAGTATTGTGCGGTTTTTATTCAGATTTTTGTATGACTTGAAAGCCGTTCTTTGTTTTGCACTGAAATAAGTGACAGGAGCCTGTCAATGAAAGGAGTAGTTTTGTAGAGATAATCCTAGATTATCGTGAAATTTTTCATTCATGAAGCCTTTTTGTTGATTTTCTCTACCACACCTGAATCTCCGAGTTAGGCAGTACTGGATAAACTGCTAGTGTCAGCATATAGCGTAACGCCATGCGGTAAGGCGACGCCTGACGTAGCGATGCCGCTCGACATAAGTGTAACAATTCCACCACGTTGGTAGAAAAAAGTCATATACCCTCAAGCTCTGAGCTTCATCGGTTTAAGGCAGGTGTTTAAGGAGTGTACACGAACCTATGACTGATGCTTATGAGATTTGTGTGACGAATGTGTTACTGATGAATGTCACGTGATGTGTAGGTTAAAACTTCAACGATAAAACATAAATTAGATAAATATTTTGAGCAAACAAACATTTGAACTATTTTGTATTTCTAGTTGATTGTATACTTTACTTTAAGTATTGAAATGTGTATACAGTATACATCCAGTTTTCTGGATCAGCGTCCAGTTTATACTAGTGTAAGATATACATGTATGTCTCTATCATCTCCTCTATGCCCATGGTGCCCGGACCCTCCTCATCTCCTCTATGCCCATGGTGCCCGGACCCTCATCTCCTCTATGCCCATGGTGCCCGGACCCTCCTCATCTCCTCTATGCCCATGGTGCCCGGACCCTCCTCATCTCCTCTATGCCCATGGTGCCCGGACCCTCCTCATCTCCTCTATGCCCATGGTGCCCGGACCCTCCTCCTTCATCCTGACTTGGGACAGGCAGTAACCACGGGTCACTGGTGGAGTTAGCCGGCTTTCACGCCTGTAGCCAAACTTGGGTAGCCGGTTTCTACCTACAGCTAGCAATTAGTATAGCCAGCAGCCAAACTCAATGCGAGTTCAAAGCAAAACATAGCTAACACCTAAAGCTAGCATACCACTCGTCTAAAAAATAGCCGAGTTCGACCGTGCTTTCAGCCTCGGCCTTACAATGTCCTGTATACAGCTTCCGACTTCAAACACCGTCGGAGCAACCTTCTATTTGACTCGCGAAGGAGAAAGCAATATAAAACGGGCTTCATCACACCATGATGAAGAACATTCATATGCATCCGGTCCTCCCACCAACTAGCGTGGCATGTAATTTGACATATGCGTGGCTCGCGCTGGGGGCCTTAACTTATGTGAGGTTCTTCGTCTCAAGTTATACTGGCCTCGTTCATCAACGTGACATGGATAAACGATCCTCCATGTGTAAGTCTTAGCCTGTAGACCTACTCCGGTTAGGGAAACGTCAATGAACGGCAGTTTGAAAGCGGGTGATGAGCTTAATGCGTAGCCCAAAACCGCTTCCTAACGTAACGTACAAAAGAGGTGAGCCAGCCTCTACTAGAGGTGAGCTCTCTAGTAGGAAGCCAGCTTAAATTTATATATATATATATATATTTATTTATGTATTGTAAGTAGCTCGGTAACTGGGCCTAAAATCGGCATTCGATGGCCAACCGAATCCCAAAAGTAGGTACCCAGTAGCCGGCCGCTTACTTTACAAAGCCAGCAGCTTAAATTGTAAGTAGCTTATACTCGGTAACTGGGCCTAAAATCGGCATTCAGTGGCCAAACAGAATGCCAAAACTAGGTACCTAGCAGCCGGTACAAGCAGCTTAAATTAAGCCTATCACTATCTACAATAGCCTTAGCCTAAACCTACTAGAGCTAGCCTCTAGTAGGAAACCAGCAGCAGAACTCTGGCTTCAGCCTCGGACATAATTTTAATGAAATAATTATATTTGAGTATTTACACATAATAGAGCTCGATGATGAGACCCTATCGTGAAGGTTTTAAAAAAACGAGCTAGCGAACTCGTGTTAGAGACCAAGATAGGCTGTAAAGCCACTCAGAGGTCTGAATTTTCATATCAGCGATTATGTTTATGTTAAATAAGTGCGGACGCTCAAGAACGCTTATAAAAATGTGATTAATTTTTACTTTCTCGTATATATAGTATTGTAATCGTGCAAAAAAAAAATCGAGATTACACCTCACTGATACGGAAAAACATAATTTTGCAATCTTGTCCGTATGTCTGTGTGTGTGTGTGTCTGTGTGTCTGTGTGTCTGTGTGTAAACACGATAACTTGAGTACCGTTACAGCTAGGTTGATGAAATTTCATATATAAGTATTATATCAAAATCGTAGATCCGTATCAACTTTTGAGCGATTTCCGACAACCGGAAGTGGTACTTTTTCTACTTTGAATTTTTCAAAAGCCTATAACTTGAGTACTATTTCAGATAGATAAATGAAATTTCACATGTAAGTAAAAGATCTATACTATTACACACTACATGTGAGCAATAAAGCATGATTTTATATACATTAAAAAAAAGTAAATTTCCACATAATAAGAAAAATAAACTTGTTGACATTTTATTATATGTTCGCATGCATTTTGAGGTGTGTGGTTGAATTTAGAGTAACCGTTTGTATAATAATAAACATGACCTATGAACTTAGGGAGAGAAACCGAAACAAGGCCTAATCGTGTGACTGAGATGTGAATGTGATGTGCTTTGGAAACTAAACTTTAAACTTATTATTTATTATCCAGATCGAGTGACTGAATAATTATTGAAACTAACCATGTTCGAACTACATACATCCTTTGATCTGCTGTTGTCAATTTCACAATTTATTTTTAAATATAGGCAGTCAAAAGGAATAGCAGGTTATTTTTTATTTTTGATTTTTAGTCATTTTTATTATTTTAGTAACTTTACATCATTTAGTAACGTTAGCCTAATTTTAAAATTAATTTAGGGGCTAGTATTGGCTAGTGGCTAGTAATACTAGTCTAGTTTATTTTCTTTTCTTTTGACTGAATACGAGATTGTGGATTTTGGCAGGTGGGGTATATGTGTCATGATATTTTTATTATAATTTATAATATTGATTATAATCAAAGTATAATGTGTTTCTAAGTTTTTTTGTATTTCATAAACCCCTGGCGGTGTTTTAGGCCATGAGGTTTAGTATTTACTAGAATCTAGGCCTACTAATTTAGTGAATCACTAAACCTAAACTCAATTCGGTCAATATCTTGAGTTGACCAGTTGAATCCTTAGCAGAACTACCCGTCTGGCTTGTTGCATTGAGATGAGTATAAAAACAAACTCTGCAGTAGCCAAGTCTACTAAATAATAACAATTACCAAATGAACACAGTTTGATCAACCCATATAATTGGCCAATGTCTTTCCAATATCGTTATCTTGGTGATAAATGAGGCAATATAAGACTTCTTTCCCCTTTGCCAATGTAATGCCATGCTTATGCCAGGATTTGGTCAATATTTGTATATAAGAATGTAAGAATAAGATGTATTTGTAATATATAATACTCTAGTTTTATGGATTTCGTGAAAGAAAAGCAAGTACTTGAGCAAGGTGTTACCTCACTTAGATTTGAAGACAACAAAGATACTATTTTTTTTGTTTAATTGTGTATATCTTGTTTTATATGTGATGCTCCAGCATAGGCTGTTGTTAAGAAAACAAAAGGGGCATTCAGGTTACTGGGGCTGTGCTAAATGTTATCAAAGAATTGAAAAGGGGAAGTGGGCTGAAAAGTAATCATTTCTAAAATAAATGCAACACTACGATCAGATGAAACTTTTGATTTAAGAAAGATGAAAATCATCAGTTTAATGGATTATCACCATTGACTAGATTGTCAGTAGGCATCGTTCCTCAGTTTCCTTTAGATTTACATGCATTTGATTAAGTACATCAAAAACTAAGATTTTTTTAAACAAGAGTAAATGGAATTAATGTTATAAGTTTTTATAGACTTGCTGACTTCTCTAAGATGTATTGCTGTATAATTATAATGTTTCTTTTATATTTTGTTTTGTAAATTAATTTAATTAATAACTGACATAAGAATGAATCTTATGTATGTGGGGCAAATATGTATCCAGGATGGAATCAATATTCAGCCAAAAATAAAGCGAATGTTAGGCCAAGATAAAGCCAATATTGGGCCAGTATATAGCTAACATTGGGCTAAGATATAGCCCATATTGGGCCAAAATATAGCTAATATTGGGCCAATATGATGCCAATATCTTGCCAAGTTTCACTACCAATGTTGGGCCAAAATGTACCCAACATTGGTAAATAATTTTAAGCCAATATTGGAGCCATATAAGTGTGCTGACCCTGTAATAACTGAATAACTAAGTTACCAATATGGCTGTAATTAAAATGGCAATAATATTGTATTTATAAATAGTTCTAATCAATTAGACAAAAGGTGGGATCTCATGCAAGAATTCAAATGGTAAATGGCAAGGTTGACTTTTTTACCAACATAACTACCATTTCAGATTCACTTATTACACCTCGAATAATAAACCAAGAAAAAAGTGGTGCAATATTGTTTGTGTGGAATGATACTGATCCTAAAGATAAGGTTAGTTCACTTATTTTAATTTATGCAATCATTTTTGTGTAGCATATCATGGCAATTTTTCAATGAACTTTTAAAAAAATGCTAACTAAAAGTAATGGGCCTATAGGTAATAACATTATCATAATGATTCTTAAATTCTTGCTCACTGTATTTCTAATGCTTTTCTATGAATTGATCATATATCATTTAATTATGACAATATGGCAAATAGTAAACTATATTTTTTTTTAATTTTAAGGTGAATTAATGTTAACATTATAGAATGTGCATTATAGTAGTAGAATTATTATCAAAGGGCATACATTATTAAACTGTAAAGTAGTAGAATCTAGGAGAAATTAGGTTGTTCTTTTTGGGTTATTAGCTGTTAATGTATTTTTATTCAATGATCAATGTCATTGACATCTTTTAAAGTTCATTAGTCCAGTGGTCTTATTTGTTTCATCAAAATAAAAATCTTTAAAAATTCCTGTTATTTCAGAATTTGTTAGTTGTTACAAACTTTGGAATATATGAACCAGAAACGCAAACTCATTCGGTATGTAAAATGAATACGTATGATAAGAACCTTTTAAACCTTTGACAGAAATGTGTGATAAATGTAGCCACTTTACATAACATCTATAATTTAAAATTTTTTTTTTTCAAATGTTATCTCACACTTATTCGCATCAACATACAAAATTAGTCCTAATAATTTGGTATGTAACAATAATAATAAATCAAATTTTATCCAGTTTATTTACTCCTATGACAAGAAAGTTAAGGTTGTGTCATGTTCCTTGAACCAGGAGAGAACACTTTTAGGTAAGTTGTGTCTAGAGTTGCTTCCAGGCATCTCTACATCTACAAGAGGGGGGGGGGGGAGGTCTATATACTTTTACCAGTGCCCGCTTCCCTCCCAGAGGAAAATTTCTGGAAGAAACAAAGAGACGCTTGTTGTGAAAATAAAAATGTGTGAACTTAAAAAAATAATCCTGCAAAATTATAGCATTGATTTCCACTTTTATAAATATAACACCGTCCTTGAAATATTTCATATTTAAAAAAAGACAGCCCTAACATAGATAGTATGTTCCTTATACATTTTGAATGTGCAATTGACATTACACTTCCGAATTCAACAGTCTGTATGGCAGATGGAGTTTTTCTGTTTCTTGACCTAGACATTTTAAACAACTCTTTGCTCACCAATTTTTCAATTCTTTAGCTGGGTCAGGAACTCAGCAGAGCTGGTTGGCTAAAAGGAACCAATATTTTGATTTGAGCTCCTGAGCTAGTATCTTGCAAATTATTAATTGTAGCTGATATTACAATAAATTAACAATCATGTTTTGTGTTAGCTTTCAGCATTGTGAAACCTCAGCAGTTTCCAAATGAGAAAAAACAGAAAGGTAAATTTTTAAAATAATTAATTAGCATTTGTTCTTGTACTAGTTAATTTTAAAAACAAAAAAAAAGCTATTCCCCCAATTCCACTCTAATTTGCTCATCACCAATTTTACAAATTTCAACCTGTTGCATATCATTGTTTAACATGATCTGCACAAAATGTTATTAAATGTATCCACAGTTATGTACCAAATGATCTGCACTAACTTTTGCCCAATGTATCCACAGTTGTGTCCCAATGATCCACACTAACTGTTGGCCAATGTATCCACAGTTGTATACCAATGTATCCACACTAACTGTAGCTCAATGTATCCACACTAACCTATGCCCAATGTATCCACAGTTTTATACCAATGATCCAACACTAACTGTTGCCCAATGTATCCACACTAACTGTTGCCCAATGTATCCACACTAACTGTTGCCCAATGTATCCACACTAACTGTTGCCCAATGTATCCACACTAACTGTTGCTCAATGTATCCACACTAACCTATGCCCAATGTATCCACAGTTGTATACCAATGATCCAACACTAACTGTTGCCCAATGTATCCACACTAACTGTTGCCCAATGTATCCACACTAACTGTTGCCCACTGTATCCACACTAACTGTTGCCCAATGTATCCACACTAACTGTTGCCCACTGTATCCACACTAACTGCTGCCCATGTATCCACAGTTGTGTACCAAGCATTCCTGGCTGAGCTCCAGTCAGTGGACAACATCGTGTTCTCTCTGAACATGGAGCGCACAACTTTCCTGAAGGTCCAGTTCCTGTACTCCCTCCAGCCCGGTCACTCACACCACAGGGACTCAGAGATGCTGGTCTTCTTACATAAGGAATGTAAGGAACAAGCTGGGGTTGGAATTTATCATCACTGTAGAAATACATTATTGTTGTCATGGTTACCAGAATTCCAACTGTTATGGTTGACAGGGTCTACTTTATAATATTGTATGGAAATGTTTTCTTGAACTATTACAAAAATATAAATTATATTTAACCTGGGGACTAAATATATGTTTTATCTGCCTAAAAGAGCTGCAAACTCATCAGCTGATGCTGTAGTGTTATGTGAGGCTGGATTTTTATAAGAAACTTGAGTAGCCCTTAAAGCATGTCATTTATGGACTCTTTATCTGTTATTACTTTACTTCTGTTTAAATGTTTTAAAGCACAAAGTAAAATAATTATAAAATTATGGATTACATCGCAACTACTCCGTAACTTTGTTGAATACTGACTGTTAAAATTAAATTTAAATTAATGAGTAAGTGGAGCTACTATCCATAACTCTTGCTCACTTTTAAAGTTTTTGTGCACAGAAAACAAAACTATGATTTTTTAAATTTTTTGTTGTGGTAAATTTATGAATGTTGATCCAATTAAAATATTTGATTGTAAAACTAAGACTATCCATGTCTTTTTCAGCCATCGGGCTGTATAGAGTTCCAATGGCCAGAATAGGGGACAGAGGGATTGTGAGTATCTTTATTATTTTATCATTTTATTACACCTTAAGTTGTATTCTTTTTACAGTTTAAAGTTGGGCCCTTTTTTGTTTTACTTTTTTTTTGGGGAATTTTTAAAAAATTATTATTTCTTAATTGTTAACTTAATTGATTATCTCGTTAATTAATACCAGATGATGAGTGGTCAGCCTAAGACAGAACAAATTGTCCGCAAGTTTGTCTGGTGCCAGTGGGATGTCCAGCACCAGCGGCTGCACTACATCCAGAACGTGAGGGTAGAGAATGGGAGCGAGGCCGTGCAGCAGAAGATGACCTCCGTCCAGTTTTATGACAAGGGGAAGTACGAGAGCATGGTGAGTAGGACAGGGGGAATACCATTTCATAGGATTTAGCTTTCAGTGGGAATACCATTTCATAGAATTTACCTTTCAGTGGGAATACCATTTCATAGAATTTACCTTTCAGTGGGAATACCATTTCATAGGATTTACCTTTCAATGGGAATACCATTTCATAGGATTTACCTTACAGTGGGAATACCATTTTGTAGGATTTACCTTTCAGTGGGAATACCATTTCATAGGATTTACCTTTCAGTGGGAATACCATTTCATAGAATTTACCTTTCAATGGGAATACCATTTCATAGGATTTACCTTACAGTGGGAATACCATTTTGTAGGATTTACCTTTCAGTGGGAATACCATTTAATAGAATTTACCTTTCAATGGGAATATCATTTCATAGGGTTTACTTTTCAGACCAAATGAATAAAGGCCCTTTCATTTATGATGGTCCATAGGGTTGATGAAAAATGTTTCTTTGACCAAGGGATAGTGTGGTCAGTTGTATGCCTAGCCATCTCTTTTTTTTGCATAACTTGGGCCAATTGGGAAATGAAATGCAAGACTTATAAGTTAGCAATCACCATAATTCTTTAATTTTGTAAAAGTTATTGTAATTTTAAAAAAAGTATTTTTTTTTCTGCACAGATTGAGATCCCTATCAACTTCCCTTTCCCATACATCAGAACTGCTGATAAGTAAGGCTTTTACAGCTATTTCCTACATTTAGAATTTTACTGCTTTATTTACTGGCAGATTATCCTTGAGCCAATTTTTCCCATTATGTTTATTTCACTTGCACTGAAAATTCTATCTAGATTTAAATTATTCTTTAATTAGATAATCATTTTGTAAAATTGTTTTGAAATGTAAATACAAAATAGCTCAAAGCATAATAAAAAATTATTTGTTATAAAATTTAGCACATTATTTTACAGTAAAATAAGTTGATAAAGTAGCTACTGTTAACAATCTTTAACCATCTTTAACAAAAACCACTTTATTTTTAATAGACCTCATTATGGTGACATCCCCCTACATCCAGGTATTCCAGGTAAGTTATTGCAAGTTTTTGTCAGTTGAGTCTATACAAAATTAGGGTTTAGAAGACATTGATTTCTATAGAAATTAATGAATAATTTAACTTTGAATAATTAAAATGTTTTTGCTCTGTAAAAAAGGAAATTCTTATGATGAAAACTGGTAGTTTACTGACCGGTGAAGTAAAAAGATACACCATTTTAGAGAACATTTGTAACAAAGTAACAAATTAATCCCGTTTAACTTGTTAAAAATATTTTGATTAATATTAGTCCATGCATTAATTCTAAATTGGCATAAATATGTTTCTCCTTAATAAATCATTTCATTAGCCTTAACATTAGCTAGACATTGTCTACATTACCATTGGTCCATGTTTTAGTGTCTACATTACAATTGGCCCATGCCTTAGTTCTAAACTTGCATGAATATTTTCCTGAGTGTATTATTTCAGTATCATGACTTAAGTTAGACATTGTCTAAGTTATGACTTGTCCATGCATTAGTTCTAAGCTTGCATATATATCCTTTTTATGGTTCCGAGAAAAATGCTCTAACAGAAAAATCCACAAATACAAATTAATTATTCTAATAACAAAAATGTTTATTATGGTACAATGTACTTGTGGTCATTCTTTGCTAAAATCTATAAATGCTCAATTTAAGAAAACAAAAATACCTTTGTTCACTTTTTTTTATTGCACATCTTTCTGGTCACCCCTTTTTATTATTAAATTAATTAATTACACCTAAATGAAGCGACTACACCTAAATTAAGTCAGTACACATAAATAAAGCGACTACACCTAAATTAAGTCAGTAGACATAAATTAAGCGACCGTACCTAAATTAAGTGATTATAACTAAATTAAGTAATTACACCTAAATTAAGTCAGTACACCTAAATTAAGTCATTACACCTAAATTAAGTCAGTACACCTGAATTAAGTTCAACATTGTCTACCCTAGAGCTGGCGCTGAATGTGGCAGTACTCACCCAGCAAAGTGGGACCTGTTGTCTATGTTACCACATGATGAACCCAGAGGTGAACTCAAGATCCAGCCAACTCGTTAGTCGTCAAATTTTTTTTTTTTAATTATCTGATTTTTTTCTGCTTCCTTACATTTTACACTAAAAAACTTTTGAATCCAAACTTGCAACTAAAAAAAAGTGCCAAAATTATAGAGATGTTTTTTTTAAAAACTTAAAATCAAACAATTATAACACTCTTCTTTAAGTGAAAAATGTTCTATACAAGACTTACCTACATTGTAAAATGTCATGTTATTTTATGATAAATATTCAAGTAATATTTTTTGTCTGAATGCAGCCTGAGAGTGATTCACAAGATGTAGAATATTACATAAGCCTTGTTCACCATGGTAGGTCACTTAAACTTGGCTTAGTTTAATCTGTAGACAACATTAATATAATCTCATGAAAGTATACTTTTTACATGCCATTGTTCCAATTTTAAAAAATTGTATTAAATATTTTACCTGTTATTCTTGAAGTAAAACCTTACATTTTTTTCATAAAAAAACTTTTCTGTTTCTGTTATTCTTGAATCTAAAACCTGAAATTGTTTCATAAAAAAAACTTTTTATTCTATCTGTTATTCTTGAATCGAAAACCTGAAATTGTTTCATAAAAAACTTGTTATTTTATCTTTGATTCTTGAAGCCTAAACCTGAAATTGTTTCATAAAAAACTTATTATTTTATCTGTTATTCTTGAAGCCAAAACCTGAAATTGTTTAATATAAAAAAAAGTTTTTATTTTATCTGTTATTCTTGAAGTCAAAGCCTTAAATTGTTTCATAAAAAATCCTCTTTATTTCTGAAGCCAAAACCTTGAAGTGTTGTGTCTACAACTTGCCCAAGCATCTAGTATTACAGAAGAGGCTTGTCTTTTCATGGTTAGGTTTGTACAGATTCTACCTCTTAAGACTAGTTTTAAAAATTATTACTGTTATAACTTGGCTTAAATTTCAGCATGTGTTATTTGATCGTTATTATTATGTCTGGGTTTGGAAATTGACAAATAGCCTAACATTTATTATTTAATTATGGGTTAAAGTAAAAATCGGTTAGGAATGGGAATCCACATGCTTTACATATGCTACCTCTTGCAATATAATAGGAAAACAGCATACATTTGGCACTGTTGAAGATACAAAAAATGTGTGGATTAAAAAAACAATTGTATTAACAATAATTTTGTAGATAGTTGCCTAGTTGTGATGTTGCCAGGATTAACAAAGGTGTATGAAATAATCATTTATAGGTAATTACCTAGTTATGATATTGTTAGGATAAAAAAAAGTTTTTTTTTTTTTGTTAGGGTCTAGTTAGACAATGGTGATAAGGCCAAGTTTTAACAAAGGTGTATTAACAATAATTGTGTAGGTAGTTACCTGGTTGTGATGTTGCCAGGACTGTTTGTGCACCTGTTGAATGTTGGACCCAGCTTTGAGCCCTGCCAGCACATCTTGTTACACAGTAAGTTTTTCTCTCACTCAACTTTTCGTTATTTAGATAACCACAGAGTGGTCTAGCTAACCCGTAAGTCTCGAGTTCCAATCCGGGTTCAAGTCAGTTGACCGTCCCTCAGTCCACCCAACTCTGATGGGTACCTAACTCAGGTTAGGGAAAGCAATGGTGGCTGGGCATAGTGCTGACCACACTATCTCTACATATGCCAAGGTCACAGAAACAAGTGAACTCTACTTCACTTGCCCTATAGATCATCAGGTTTGAAAGGGAACTTTACTTTACTTTTTACCTTTATTTAATAAAACCTTGTATACATTTTTTAATTGGCTGAAATCATTAGTAATTTAATTAGATTTAGTGTCCAATTTTTTTTTTTTGCTATGGTAAAATGAACATTGAGATATAATTTAAATGCTAGATTTATATTTTTAAAAAAATGCTGAATTTAAACTTTAAACACAAGAATGTTTTGGTGTAAGCCACATCATGTTACTGAGAAGTGAAATCTTGTCTACACACTCGTTACTTGGACTTTTCTGATATTTACAAATATGGAGGGTGGGGTTGGGGTTAATGTCAATGTTGGCCTACAGGCCAGGACAATTATCTAGCTACTTGTTAAAATATAACATTTGCACTTAACTAAATGGTTTATAAATGTTTAATACATACTATAACTTTTACTTGAATTAATGTGTTGAAAACTCATCTTGTTATTCCCTAGACTTTGCACTCAGTAAAGGATTATTTGCTGAAGCTGAAAACAGCCAGGAATTTTCTGTTAAGTACGTTCATCATTTAATTATGTTTAAAATAAGTGTTTATGGCTTTCTAAGTGACTCATTTTAATTTAAATAAACCGGGAGTGATCTCCCCTAAACTTTCTCGAATATTCTTATATAAAATAACAGGGGATGGGAACTCGGGCTATAGACATGATTTTTAATCCATTTTAAATACTTAAAGTTTTAAAAATAGAATAAAATCTCGTAGACAAATTAATTGCACACCAAGTGAACGCCAAATAAAAAAGCGCATAATAGTGCGCAATATTATTAGTACTTTTAAAATTTACATTAGCTTTTTGAGAAATCGGAAGTAGCGTAAAGTACTACTTCCAGTCAACAAAAATTACTCAAAATTTAACAGAAGGTAGAGAATTAGATCTTTTACTTACATGTGAAATTTCATTTATCTATCTGAAATAGTACTCAAGTTATAGGCTTTTGAAAAATTCAAAGTAGGAAAAGTACCACTTCTGGTTATCGGAAATCGCTCAAAAGTTGATACGGATCTACGATTTTGATAAAATACTTATATATGAAATTTCATCAACCTAGCTGTAACGGTACTCAAGTTATCGTGTTTACACATGGACAGACAGACAGACACACAGACAGACACACAGACATACGGACAAGATTGCAAAATTATGTTTTTCCGTATCAGTGAGGTGTAAAACGTCGAGATTTGTAAAAATCTTGATTTTTTTTTTTGCACGATTACAAGACTTTCTCTATACTTCGTATATACGAGAAAGTAAAAATGTATATCCTTTAGAAACAATGTTTAAAAAACTAAGTTATTTATTTTGTTTGTATTTTTTTAAACCACCAGGATTTGTTTTCTTTTTTAAGATTTACTGAGGATGAATCTTTAGCATCCAGGTCTAGCAGTATAACCCCTCCGAGGGGTCAACGACCTGAGACTTCACACACAAGCCCAGGTCTCCTCATGTCCATCCCTGTGTTCTCTGAGTACTGCAGCGCCATGAAGACCCTGCTGCCATGCCAGAGTTTTGTGCGGGAGTCTGGTTCTATTGGTGAGTAGAGTCTGGTTCTATTGGTGAGTAGAGTCTGGTTCTATTGGTGAGTAGAGTCTGGTTCTATTGGTGAGTAGAGTCTGGTTCTATTGGTGAGTAGAGTCTGGTTCTATTGGTGAGTAGAGTCTGGTTCTATTGGTGAGTAGAGTGGTTCTATTGGTGAGTAGAGTGGTTCTTTTGGTGAGTAGAGTCTGGTTCTATTGGTGAGTAGAGTCTGGTTCTATTGGTGAGTAGAGTCTGGTTCTATTGGTGAGTAGAGTCTGGTTCTATTGGTGAGAAGAGTCTGGCTCTATTGGTGAGTAGAGTCTGGTTCTATTGGTGAGTAGAGTCTGGTTCTATTGGTGAGTAGAGTCTGGTTCTATTGGTGAGTAGAGTCTGGTTCTATTGGTGAGTAGAGTCTGGTTCTATTGGTAAGTAGAGTCTGGTTCTATTGGTGAGAAGAGTCTGGCTCTATTGGTGAGTAGAGTCTGGTTCTATTGGTGAGTAGAGTGGTTCTATTGGTGAGTAGAGTGGTTCTATTGGTGAGTAGAGTCTGGTTCTATTGGTGAGTAGAGTCTGGTTCTATTGGTGAGTAGAGTCTGGTTCTATTGGTGAGTAGAGTCTGGTTCTATTGGTGAGTAGAGTCTGGTTCTATTGGTGAGTAGAGTCTGGTGCTATTGGTGAGTAGAGTCTGGTTCTATTGGTGAGTAGAGTCTGGTTCTATTGGTGAGTAGAGTCTGGTTCTATTGGTGAGTAGAGTCTGGTTCTATTGGTGAGTAGAGTCTGGTTCTATTGGTGAGTAGAGTCTGGTTCTATTGGTGAGTAGAGTCTGGTTCTATTGGTGAGTAGAGTCTGGTTCTATTGGTGAGTAGAGTCTGGTTCTATTGGTGAGTAGAGTCTGGTTCTATTGGTGAGTAGAGTCTGGTTCTATTGGTGAGTAGAGTCTGGTTCTATTGGTGAGTAGAGTCTGGTTCTATTGGTGAGTAGAGTCTGGTTCCATTGGTGAGTAGAGTCTGGTTCTATTGGTGAGTAGAGTCTGGTTCTATTGGTGAGTTGGGAATATTTTTTGGAGTGGTTCTATTGGTGAGTAGTGAGTCTGTGGATAGAGAATATATTTTTGAAAAGAGAATTGTTGGTGGATATAGCATTTACTGGTGGGAACCCATTTTGAACAGAAAATCTGCTTTAGGTTAAGTTGATATGCTGGTGATTTCGTACAATAGATTTTTCCTATCAGGATAAATCTAATAGAGAAATGGATTGTATAATACTTTTAAGAAATAAATATTTAAAATTCATTACATTAAAATATATGTGACTATATAATTATACACCTCTTGATGCTATTGTTCAGCTTAAAACTTCTATGATTATCAAATAGGCTACACCATGCAACTTTTCTACTTGATCTAGTTCCTCTTAATCAAGAGATGCCATTGTTTCAGCCCAGCACCTCTATGACTACAGAAGTGGGTGTATCCTGAAACTTGTGCTGAACATTGACTCCATGCTGGAGAGTTTCCGCAACGCCTACTGGCAAACACGTCTCGCCATGCTCCATTACCTGATCCTCCACCATAAAGATCTTTCAGCCACTAAGAGGGTAAACTAAATTTACCTTCTCTCCACCATAAAGATCTTTCAGCCACTAAGAGGGTAAACTAAATTTACCTTCTCTCCACCATAAAGATCTTTCAGCCACTAAGAGGGTAAACTAAATTTACCTTCTCTCCACCATAAAGATCTTTCAGCCACTAAGAGGGTAAACTAAATTTACCTTCTCTCCACCATAAAGATCTTTCAGCCACTAAGAGGGTAAACTAAATTTACCTTCTCTCCACCATAAAGATCTTTCGGCCACTAAGAGGGTAAACTAAATTTACCTTCTCTCCACCATAAAGATCTTTCAGCCACTAAGAGGGTAAACTAAATTTTCCTCCTTTTAAGTGAGTGGAACAGAAATGATATTTAAAAAATATTTTTTTCACATGTAAAGTATTATGTTTTGCATTGCTATTTTAAAATCTACTAGCTACATTTTTTCTTGTTGGTTTTTCAGAAAGATTGGGACTAATGTCTTTGGGCCTCCCTTTTTTCCCTCATATGTTTCCAAACTAGTGTTTTTTTAAATAAGTTTTTTGTTTTAACTGAAGTTTCCCTTTCAAGTCTAATGTTCAATAGGGCAGATGAAGTGGAGTTCATGTTTCTTGACTTCTACATATGAAAGGGTTGGTGTGGTATGCCCAGATGCCCTTACTTTCCCTAACCTGAGTCAGGTACACATTAAGACTTAGGGACGTCCTGCAGTGACAAGTCTGGAGTGAGATTTGAACTCACGACTTTCGGCTAGCAGTTGAGCTTTCCAACCCCTTTACCAAACAATCCCATAAATTTTTATGTTTTGTTTCCCACAGTAAAGTAAAAAAAATAATTCAATACTGATGTTATTTTACTGCCAGCTTTAGGGATCGTGATTATAAAATTTGTATAAAATCTGTTATGTATAGAAGGTTAAAAACTTCGAATATATGCTTGTTGATGTGGTCATTCATTACTTGATTCCGCAGTTGTTTGAAGTCCTGTGTGAAAATTTAGCCAACTCTGAGGTCAACAGCATGTTTGCTGAATTTTTAGTGGGTAAGTCTTAAGATACAAATCAGGTAAAACATATTTATGCATCTTCTGCGATGCTCTTTACTTAGTTATCACAAGCTTGAAATAAAAATTTTTAAAGGGAATAATTATTCAAATCCACATTGGCCTGTTTTGTATCATTAAAATACATTATATGCTGAAGAAAAATATGAACTCTACATAATTGCTCTTTAATTAGTTGTCACAAGCTTGAGATAAAAAAATTTAAAAGAAATAATTATTGTATAATTGAATCATTTAAAGACATATAATACAATGATGTATATACTATTTTTTTTTAATTTAAAGAATTATAAATATATAATTCAATGATAAATAGACCTAGTAATTTTTAAATTATTATTTAGTTCACATTCACAGATTTTAGTGCACTAACCATGCATTATTTTTCTATTTGAACTCAGTGAAAATTATTTTTTTCAGCTTCAACTTTTGCTGAAATGAAAAAACAAGTGGACAGAGAGGTTCTCAACCTTCTAGGCTTTACCACAGTGCAAACACTCAGAGGCCAGTTTGAGAAGGTATGCCCTACTTGTATTTTTTCTTCATAAATACCACCAATGAATCAGTTTTATATTCCCACATCAAGCTCATTACCAATTCAAAACTATGAGAAAGTTAGAGTCCCTTATTTCTAATCTCTTGTCAGAAGCTGATTTGTATTAGAAAAGCATATTAATTGTTTTTTTTTAAAATTAAAAATGTAAATAGTTGGGTTATTTTAAACTAGACAGCACAAAAATGTCTTAAAACAAGTTCCCCTTTAGTATATCTCTTCTAGTTTTTAGCATTAATTTTTTAAAATTTGATAAAATTCATCAAATAAATCTTTTTAATTTTTTAAATAACTTATGCTATAATTTTTCCACTTTAAGTTAATCAATATGGGCAAAAAGTTTTAAAATTTATTTGATTTTATAATAAAAGTAATTTTTAAAAATAATTTTTTATTACTGGCTGTCTTTAATTTTATATCCTCAGCAATACCCATCTACAACATACTGTTCAATCAGTTATAGCATAGAATTAAATTACTTTAAAAATAAGTATAGTTGTGTTTTTAAAAAGAATTTGAACTGTCAGTATGTGCCTCAACTTTCTTGTCCTGGGGTTCAACAAATGTTTTCTAATTTATTACATTTTTTTAATGTTTCAGAACAATTTAGGTGAACGCCTGGCCCATATCTCATACACATCATTAGCCACTGTGGATGTGAAGAAGAAGTCGGAAATAAAGAATAGATCGAATGAGGACTTCTGGGATACTTTAAATCGACGTCTGAGATCTCGGCTGGTAGAAAACCCAATGAGATTCTCTCATGCAAATGTCATGAGGCTTTACAGGCAAGCTGAAATGGAAGAGGCAGGGGGGAAGGTAAGTAGTCTCTGAATGTGTGGGTTGTCCATACATTTCTTTCATAAGCATGGCCCCAACAACTCACAAATACTATTTTGATTTTTAGGACTGCAAAATATTTCTTTATGTAGTAAATTTGCAGTTATACACAAGTTACTTCAAAGAAACCACTGAATAATGATTCTTTAAAGTTTTCTATAAAAGTTGTGTATTTTCTCCATCTTTATTTTTCCCTTTTGGATGAAGTAACTTTGTATTCTGTTTGTACTAATACTTCTTCAGATAGAGATGACTGAATGAACTTGTGTAATTGCCAATAGGGTCATGTCTAAGTTACATTTTGTTGGTAGCACTACCCTAATATTGGCCCTGGCTAAAGGCATAATACTGGCAGAATAAAAAACTTTGATACACTGATGCTGCATTGGCCTTATAGTAATTAAAGAAAGTTCCAATATTATTTTTTTACATATTGAACCTTTATGTCTATAACCACGTTGTTCAAATAGATTATTATTTAAATGTTTGAAAATATTTTTTAAAATAAGTTTTAAATATATCTTCTAGATCCTTTGGGACCCTATGCATGTGGATGACTCATTCTTCCAAGTCAAAAGATCCTCAGAGTTGTCCCCTCCTGTTTTAAGAGCATCCTTGACCTTGTCTGAGTCTAGCGATGGATCAACTGCCAGTGGGCGCCGCAGCAAAACGGATGCTATACTTGGCGCATCGCCACTTTTTCTACACAAAAGTCAGTCCCAGGAGTCGAAGCTTTTTAAGCGCAGATTATCAGTTTTAGTAAGTCTAAAGCTCAGATTATCAATTTTAGTAAGTCTAAAGCTCAAATTACCTGATTTAATGTCTAAAGCTCAGATTATCAGTTTTAGTAAGTCTAAAGTCAGATTATCAGTTTTAGTAAGTCTAAAGCTCAGATTATCAGTTTTAGTAAGTCTAAAGCTCAGATTATCAGTTTTAGTAAGTCTAAAGCTCAGATTATCAGTTTTAGTAAGTCTTAAACTCAGATTATCAGTTTTAGTAAGTCTAAAGCTCAAATTATCAGTTTTAGTAAGTCTAAAGCTCAGATTATCAGTTTTAGTAAGTCTAAAGCTCAAATTATCAGTTTTAGTAAGTCTAAAGCTCAAATTATCAGTTTTAGTAAGTCTAAAGCTCAGATTATCAGTTTTAGTAAGTCTAAAGCTCAGATTATCAGTTTTAGTAATTCTAAAGCTCAGATTATCAGTTTTAGTAAGTCTAAAGCTCAGATTATCAGTTTTAGTAAGTCTAAAGCTCAGATTATCAGTTTTAGTAAGTCTAAAGCTCAAATTATCAGTTTTAGTAAGTCTAAAGCTCAAATTATCAGTTTTAGTAAGTCTAAAGCTCAAATTATCAGTTTTAGTAAGTCTAAAGCTCAAATTATCAGTTTTAGTAAGTCTAAAGCTCAGATTATCAGTTTTAGTAAGTCTAAAGCTCAGATTATCAGTTTCAGTAAGTCTAAAGCTCAGATTATCAGTTTTAGTAAGTCTAAAGCTCAGATTATCAGTTTTAGTAAGTCTAAAGCTCAAATTATCAGTTTTAGTAAGTCTAAAGCTCAAATTATCAGTTTTAGTAAGTCTAATGCTCAAATTATCAGTTTTAGTAAGTCTAAAGCTCAAATTATCAGTTTTAGTAAGCCTAAAGCTCAGATTATCAGTTTTAGTAAGTCTAAAGCTCAAATTATCAGTTTTAGTAAGTCTAAAGCTCAGATTATCAGTTTTAGTAAGTCTAAAGCTCAAATTATCAGTTTTAGTAAGTCTAAAGCTCAAATTATCAGTTTTAGTAAGTCTAAAGCTCAGATTATCAGTTTTAGTAAGCCTAAAGCTCAGATTATCAGTTTTAGTAAGTCTAAAGCTCAAATTATCAGTTTTAGTAAGCCTAAAGCTCAGATTATCAGTTTTAGTAAGTCTAAAGCTTTGATTACCTGTTATATTAAGTCTGAAGCATAGTGTATCATTTTTAATAAGTCTGACGTTGAAAAGTCAGGCCCTGTCATTATTAAAAAGTTCTTCCACATTCAGCCACATAGATTTCTTCACTTTTTGCACACTTATCTAACATAGACTAAACCACCATTAACTGTACATCCTTCTTTCTTATTTGATACATGACGTTCATAATTTATCTTATACAGTCCCTTTTTTGGTTTCACCACTTTTGTATTTAGATTTTATTTTTAGTTTTTGTGTCTATTATCCACTTCCTTCGTTGAGTTACCCTAAACATATCATTTATTTAGCTTTACTTCGACAAAACAAAAACAACAGTTATCCAATATTTATTCTTTGACCACAATCTTTGGGTGTCCCCCTCTTAAGTAGACTATCTTCCTAGTTTTTCTTTAATTACGCAATGGTTGTAAAATCTAGTGTTACCCTCCAACTACACTGACTGTAGACAAAATGCCTACATTTAGAGGAATGCATAAAACAAATTATTTTATTGCCTTAATCTAATAATGGTTTGAAGTTTAACCTTTAGCAGCAACCAAAAAAAAAAATTCTAATAGGCCTGCAATAATCTTGTTGGAAAATTAGCTGTTTTTTGTTTATGTTTTTTCAGTCTATAATTTATGCTTTATATGTATGAATTTTGATGTTACTCACAGACAGAAGATCAACTTAGGAAACATCTGGTCAGGTTTCTGGCTAAGGAGTCTCAATCCAAGGCAAAAAATGTGTCCAGGGAGTATTTGTATTGCCAGGTTTGTGTTTTAGTTTTTGTTAGTAGTTATTATTTTGTAGAAGACTCCAAATAAACTGCCCTGTGAAATTGGATTAACTGTGTTTTAAAAGATGAAATACTAAACATATCTGAGAGTATTTCTGCAATTTTTAAATTTACATTCTCAAACTGTATTTCTAAAACTTTTAAAAAAATGTTCACAAAATGTACACGTAGTAGATAGTTTTTAATTAGATTTGTTTCTTTTAATTTTCTAATAAAAAATTAAAATTTTAAAAAACTTTTTCTTAAACACTTAGATTTTATTCTATTATAGGCCTACACATAGTTTTTAAAGCACCAAATAATTTTCCTAATTGCCAGGCAAAAGTTTCTAGACAATTGTGTCATTTGATATGGAGCGCTTGTTGTAATGGAGATGAGGCTTGTATAGAAGACTCCCTTCTACCAAACTTGTAAGTTTTGTAACTTTCCAGCAAACTTTTTAATTTTTTATAGTTAAATACAAGGTCTGATATTACTGATAACTTAAATTCCCATCTAAAACTTTTAAATATTAATTTGGAATACAAAAATTTTAATGCAATTTTAATGAAGGGCAAAAATTGGTAAGAGAATAGTTAAATAACTGGTGCAGGGGTGGTCTGGCCTACTAGTCTACCAGAGAAAATCTTGTTGGGCTTCAAGGAATAGTGCTGAAATATAGGGCAATTAGTAGGCTCAGTTTTAATTTTTTTACAATTTGTTGGTATTTCTCCATTTTACCAGTTCCTTTCTTTCATGATAAGGTGTAACATTTAATTTGAAGGGGAAAAAAATGTACGTTAAAAATAAATTTCAATCTGGGTTTGGGGGTCCCTTTTAAATATTCCCAGGCCTCTTGGACACAGCTAGTCCATCCCTGCTTGGTTGTATTATTGTATTATAACATTACATCCTACAGCTTTCTGATACTGAATAACTCATGCCCTGGCTCTGTCAAGATTAGAACTCTGATTGAGAGGCTAAACTTTGTAATCAGATATCATATCACAGTGCCTTGATTATGCTATAAAAACAATTGGGTTGCCATAACTTTCACAAAAGCTGAACTTATCTTTTATTCTTCATTTAGAATATATTTAAAGCCCACTGGCATTAAATTGCAGTGCATTTTGGCATATCATCTTTTGCTTTTTTTTGCCCAAGACACATGGGGCCGCTACAGAAAGCAACCTCCACTTTTGTCAGTCACTGGAAATTTTTCTGGTTGTCCCCTCAAGAAAATCCTGCCTTTTTCAGCTTCTTCTCCACCGTGCACCTTCACATCTCCTTTCTCCTTACCTTTCTTTCTTTTTACTTGAGCATTACATCATCTGGATTCATTCTTAGAAAGCGCCCCATCTGTCACAATCTTCTTTTTTTTGATTATTTCGGAAACAGCTTCCATTTCCATCTCTCCTAGTAGACTATCATTGGTGACTGTTAGGCCAGAGTATGCCTTATATCCTTAGCAAGCTTCTCAGATTCATTTTGTTTTGGCAAGGTGGAAATTTTATGTCTTTTATTGTTTACAGACAGACGCCAGCCACAGACAGGGAGTATGAATTGTTCCAGTTGTATGAGAGGTTTTACCTGTCTGCCACAGATCTAGGGTACCCACTCCCTACAGGTAACATCTGGGGTATTCTCTCTATATCTCAATGTAGTCACTTTAGTACTACAAGTATACTCTCCCCCCCCAGCTTACAATAACACACATATCCTTCCACTACCTACAGGTAACATCTGGGGTATCCTTCTCTAAATATCAAGAGTCACTTCAGTACTACAAGTATACTCTCCTACCCCCCCCCCCCCTCCCCCCAGCTTATAGTAACACACTATATATTTCCACTTCCTACAGATAATATTCTTTCTTCTCTATTTCTTAATGCAGTCTCTTTAATACTATAATAATACTCCCCCCCCCCCAGCTAACAATAACACACATATCCTTCCACTTCCTACAGTTAACATATCCTTTCTTCTCACTCAATATCTCAATGCACTCACTTTAGTACTATGGGCCTTTTCCCTTCACACCCCCCCCCCCCCCATCTTAAACTATCAGTCATATCCTTCCATTTTCTACAGGTAACATTTGGGGTATCCTTTTTTCCCTGAATCTCACTGCAGTCACTTTAGTACTCCAAGTATCCCCTCCCCCCAACTTACAGTAACCCACCATATCATTCCACTTCTACAGGTTTTTCCAGCTACTTTACAGCTCTAGGTTTCAAATGTTTAGAACTTCAGTAAGTTGTTTTTTTCTCACCATTATTGGCTGGCACTAATGTATACATAAATATTAGCCTTACAGAACGCTTTTTATACTACCACCAATAGTTTCTAAAACAAAAATTATAGATTTGTTTTGTATTTTTGTAAAACATGTACTTCAACTAATTTAAGAATGTTTAATTTTTAAGCTAACTAAGATGGCCTAACAAAATATTTAAAAAAAGCCAATAGACAGGGATTGATCAGCATACCTATTTTTAACTTTAGCTATTAACTTTGTTTCAGCTTGTTCTTCCAATATGTAGACAACCATATTCTTCTACTCACACCTGAGTTCATTCTTCAGCTTTTGGAGGGTAACATTTTTTTGTGATACACCTTCTGATTATGTTAGGATTCATGATTTTTTTTTTTATGTTAACATTGACAGCTAGAGAGTGGAGCATGAGTTTTGGTTACTTGAAAGTTTAAATTACCTGGTTATGTCCACTTTGTTTTGGGCGTCTTAAGTAAGTTCGGGAAAGTAAAGTTGGCTGGTCAGTGATTTGGCCATAGTGCTTTTACGTACAGTAGCCACTGACAGAAATACTTCTGTGTTATGACAGTCTTCTTCTTCTTCGTTCTTAATTATTAGTGTTGAAGGTGATGGAGATTTATCTGCCAGTGGGTTTGAACTCGAGACTTTGTTAGAATTTATCAACCATGAGCTTTTTGCCGACTCGACCACGCCTCCAACACAATTAAGCTTTACGTGTCAACTGGTTATGCGCCATTGAGGCCATTGACTCCGATTTCAGCCTGCTTTTCTTTTTGGATTTGCTTCCATAGCCTTTGTCCAACCAAGAACAAACTACAAGGCAGCAGTTGTTTAATTTTGGAGTTGTCTCTCCTAGAAGAGTGGCTGTCCCCAGCTAACGAGCCTCATCTGCCCGAGGGTTCGAACTCGAGACTTTTCGGTTTAGCAACCATGAGCTTTTACCGACTCGACCACGCCGGCCCCTTTATGACAGTATTTCTATTGTAATATATTACATTTGAAATCTGTATTCTCCAATGTTTCTTTTTTTTTAAAAATACACTTTTATCTATAATAAATTCCTAATTGTTTAGAAATAATATTCCAATTCATAAATTTATAACAAAAATCTTTGTCCAGATTTACCAGACTCAGTAGATGATGAAATTGTTGAAATCAAATATCAAGTTATTTCTAGACTACCCCCAGTAAGTGATATATTTTCCTGTTGCCTTCCTAATTTATTGTCTCATTGAATGATGAATGTACAACTCTGTCTGATCTTGATGTCGAATACACACATTGCAATTGTAATAAATACACATTTATCTGTAGCGGATTTGTTTTCGGACTCTAAAAATATTTTTTAATATTAAATTTGTTCATTACCTTTGAGTTTAAGTAAACATTAGATATGATTTGTGTTACAAAATTTTCAAATTAGAACTGATGTTTTAATTTTATTTTTACACAGCCATTTGCTGCGGAGTGTTTTGAAAGATGGAACCACCCTCTAATCAAAGTGGGCAGGGCAAGGGAACAAGTCGCCCATATCCTTCTGAGAGGTATTTACACTTGTAACACTACACCAGCTGTTTAATAGTTCATTTTCTTCTTTATTGTAACATTGGAAGGGATTTCCTCCAACACAATTATTTCATGTCCACTTGATATTTGCCATATAGGCTATTGACTTTAATTTCAGTCTGCTTCTCTTTCTGGATTTGCTTACATTGCTTTTAGTATTATTTTATCAGTGTTTTGCTAACTTTGACCTTTACTAAAATTCTTGTTATTAAATTTATTTGTACACTCAGCAAGGCAATATAAAGGATTTTAAGACAGTTGTGTTTTAGTATAGATAACTACTATTTTATGTTGAATTTTGAATCAAGTAATTTATCCCAACTACTATTTTGTGTCAAATTTTTAATCAAGTAATTTATCCCAACTACTATTTTGTGTCAAATTTTGAATCAAGTAATTTATCCCATCTACTTTTTTGTGTCAAATTTTGAATCAAGTAATTTATCCAATCTACTATTTTGTGTCAAATTTTGAATCAAGTAATTTATCCCAGCTACTATTTTGTGTCAATTTTTTAATCAAGTAATTTATCCCAACTACTATTTTGTGTCAAATTTTGAATCAAGTAATTTATCCCATCTACTTTTTTGTGTCAAATTTTGAATCAAGTAATTTATCCAATCTACTATTTTGTGTCAAATTTTGAATCAAGTAATTTATCCAATCTACTATTTTGTGTCAAATTTTGAATCAAGTAATTTATCCCATCTACTTTTTTGTGTCAAATTTTGAATCAAGTAATTTATCCAATCTACTATTTTGTGTCAAATTTTGAATCAAGTAATTTATCCCATCTACTTTTTTGTGTCAAATTTTGAATCAAGTAATTTATCCCATCTACTTTTTTGTGTCAAATTTTGAATCAAGTAATTTATCCAATCTACTATTTTGTGTCAAATTTTGAATCAAGTAATTTATCCCATCTACTTTTTTGTGTCAAATTTTGAATCAAGTAATATATCCCTGACAGCTCCAACACCAACATCAGAAAGTGAGTTTGTCAGTTTATCCTCCCATGATGCTAACACAGTCTTTACACCTCTGGACACCTTTATCAAGCACTTGGACAAAGCTGCATCAAGTGAGAAGCTCATTTGATTTTAAGTTGATGAACTTTTTTAAAGGAATCAATTGAAGCAGAATGAGCTAATTATAAAGAAATCAATTGAAGCATATTGAACTTATTATAAAAAAATCAATTGAAGTTGAAACATTTATACCTAAGAAAATTAAATTTTAAGAAATAGATCAGAAATATAAATTTTAAAATGCATTGAATTTGAATTATTATTTTTTTATAATTAAGAAATATAATTAGGCCTATGTGTAGGCTATATGGAAAATGAACACTTTAAACAAATTAAGAAAAATATTTAAAAACAAATATGTATACATCTGAAAATTTTAAGAATATTTTAGAAATATAAAAATAAAAGTATTGAATTTAATTTTTTTTAAATTAAAATATATATATATATAAATAAAAATGTTTGTAGACTACATGGAAAATGAAAACTTTAAACAAATTAAGAAAAACATTTAAGAACAAATGTGTGTACATCAGAAAATATAAATAATATAAAACATAAATTTTAAAAATATGTTGAAATTGAGAATTGTTTTAAATACTTGAAGTTTTGAGTTTTTCAATTGAAGCAGAAACCTTTATACCTAAGAAAATTAAATTTTAAGAAATAGGTTAGAAATATAAATTTAAAAATGCATTGAGTTTGTTTAAATTACTTGAAGTTTTGAGTTAATTCAAAAAGAAATATCCAGCTATTGGATAGATAAATCAACCTGAAATACTGATCCAAAAAACTATGAGATACAAATGGGACTGGATCACTGAGAGCAAGGCAGATGAATATTAGGGAATAAATTCCCAGTTTGGATTATAAATTTACTTTAACAGGAAAAAAAATAGAATGTCCTGGAATGTTTCAGGTATCTTTTTATCCTAAAATTTTCTCAGGAGTAAAAAAAGTAAAATGTTTATCATAAAAATATGCTTCATCATCATCTTTTCCCGATAATGGTGTTGTATTTGTGCTTAATGTGTTATGTTATTCTGATATGGTGTGAACATATACGTTGTGTGGGGACATGATGTGATGTTATGTTATTCTGATATGGTTTATACGTTGTATGTGTACCTGAAATAACATAATGTTATTCTTCTTGCAGGCATCAGATCACCCAGGCCCATAACATATGACAAGAAACTGATACAAGAGAGCTCACTCCACTACACCAGGACCAAAACACAGCTTGACCTTTCAACTGTCAGCTTTTAAATCAGCTGGTCTGATGAGGGAATTCAGAGTGACTGCCCCTGTTAAGGCACACTGCAAACATTCCTCTGATGAGTGAATTCAGAGTGACGGTCCCTGTTAGGGCATACTGCAAACATTCCTCTGATGAGTGAATTCAGAGTGACTGCCCTTGTTAGGGCATACTAAACATTCCTCCATCTTTTCTAAGAATTTATTTTTGCCCTACAATTATTTTTGTACTTAGATTTATCAAACAGTTTTATATTTTATACTGTCACATTGTGATAAAGGGGAGGTGACAGTGTCAAGGAGAAAAAAACAACAATGTTTTGATATTTATTTAAATTATTTATTTATTATACTGATGAGACGTTCTCTGGTTAGCATCAGAATTATTTTCAGTTTTGTTTAGAAATGTTTTGTGTTTCTTATTATAATTTAATTAGTTAGCATGTCAACGTCCAGTTCTATATTTTTGTTTCATGTTTTATTCATTAGCTATGACTTGACTCTTATTATTATGGCTACAATACTTTCTATCGAGTCATTTGCGACATACATTACTGTCTATAGAGGCATGTGCAACATACATTACATTATGATTATATAGTCATGGGCTACATACATTACATTCTATACAGTTATGGGCTACATCATCGCTGCTGTTTCATATTGTAGTGTAGTTATAATACCCCATCATATGATGTGGTTCTGACCGCTCATTATGCTTTTTTATATACCACGCAGGGATTTATTCTTTTAAACTTGAGTATACACACGAGGTCATAAAGCTTCAATAGTAATTATCTGATATTTCAAAGGAATGAATGTTTAGGTTTTCTGTAATTACTCAGTAAACCTATAACTTGTTACTTTTTATAATTTAATGACACTTGCATTATCCGAATTCCATTTACTTTTTTGTGTAAATACACAAATTTTCTTCCTTATTTTGCTAAATAATAAAAAAATAATTTTGAGGTTTTATTATTCTTTTTAATTAATAATGAATTTTTCTTATTTTGTTAAGAATTATCTCCCCTTGACACCACAAACCCGTCAATATCTGACCATCTTCGCTTCTACCTTTTGTTGTAGGTTTTACTCCATCGTCCCTAGCAAATATTTTATTGCCTGTGGTGTGAAGTGTTTAAGTTCTTGGGGGAATTTTTATACCAGTGTCCGATAATGGAATCTTCTTTAAAAAAGGGGGTGTTAGGTTACTGGTAGTTAACTAAATACACACTTGGCTGGCTAATGTCAATGCTAACCCTGTGCTAAACCCTAGTCCTACAATACGTCTTAACCCTAATTTCTAAATATAAAATTTGTTGAGATTACTATACTACTAACAACCCGACACATTTATTTTATGGAAGAGTCTATTATCGGTATCTAAAATCATCCGAGTTCTTGAATATAAGACAAGTATAAATCTATTGTAAAAACATGGTAAATAAGCAACTTTTTTTTAAATATCGTAAAAAAAATTTCATTATTCCCAGCACTTTTTTTTTTCTTAAGCAACCCTTCCACACACCCCACACATACCAAACAAAAATAATCCAAATAAAATGTGAAGATTTCATGTAAAATCATTTTTATTAACAAATAACGAACAAGCAAAATTTGCATTGAAGTATCCAAAAAGTCAAGTCTTCCTCCCTCAAACACACACATAGCCTACACACAATTTTATTCATTTAACAGTTTTCCCCCTTTCACACAATGTATACATAGGTTAATTCCCTTGTTATCTATTGCTCATTTAATTTATGGTGACCTTTAGATCTATTTATTGATTGCTATCTTAATAATAGTTTAGCTTTAGTAATTTCATAGGGAATTTTAGACAGGAGTTACATTTATTACAGAAATAGGGTTAAAAAAAACAACTAAATATTCCCAAGGAATCTCGTATTACATAAGTTCTCGAGTGATCTTTCACTACTTTATTTTTTGTGCCATTCTCGTTATGAGTTGTTATTTTGGTGCTATTCTGATTTAGTGAGGGAGTTATTTCGTTTTCAGCAGAGCTTTTACTAGTGCTAATCTATTTTGGCGCTACTTTATGTTTGGTGCTACTCTACGTTTGGTGCTACTGTACTTTTAGTTTAGTGCTACTTTTTGTGCTACTCAACTCCTGACGCTACTTCTTTTGGCTCTTCTTACTTTTGGGTTGGGTCTACTCTACTTCCGCTACTACTCTACTTAACATTTGACACTACTCTACGTTTGGTGCTATTCTACTTTTGGTGCTGCTATACTCTTGGCACCACTCCAAACTTGTCGATTCTCTGCCCCTGATGCCACGCCCATATATCTACTTGAAGTTCTACTTTTCTCTCTTCCACTGGTGTCACGCCCATATATCTACTTGAAGCTCTACTTTTCTCTCTGCCCCTGGTGCCACGCCCATATATCTACTTGAAGTTCTACTTTTCTCTCTCCCCTGGTGCCACGCCCATATATCTACTTGAAGTTCTACTTTTCTCTCTGCCCCTGGTGCCACGCCCATGTATCTACTTGAAGTTCTACTTTTCTGTCTGTCCCTGGTGCCATGCCCATATATCTACTTGTTCTACTTTCTCTCTGTTCCTGATTCCACGCCCATATATCTACTTGAAGTTCTACTTTTCTCTGCTGCCCCTGGTGCCACGCCCATGTATCTACTTGTTTTAACTTTCTCTCTGTCCCTGGTGCCACGCCCATATATCTACTTGAAGTTCTACTTTTCTCTCTGCCCCTGGTGCCACGCCCATATATCTACTTGAAGTTCTACTTTTCTCTCTGTCCCTGGTGCCACGCCCATATATCTACTTGAAGTTCTACTTTTCTCTCTGTCCCTGGTGCCACGCCCATATATCTACTTGTTCTACTTTTCTCTTCTGCCCCTGGTGCCACGCCCATGTATCTACTTGTTTTAACTTTTTCTCTGCCCCTGGTGCCACGCCCATATATCTACTTGAAGTTCTACTTTTCTCTCTGCCCCTGGTGCCACGCCCATATATCTACTTGTTTTAACTTTCTCTCTGCCCCTGGTGCCACGCCCATATATCTACTTGAAGTTCTACTTTCCTCTCTGCCCCTGGTGCCACGCCCATATATCTACTTGTTCTACTTTTCTCTCTGCCCCTGGTGCCACGCCCATGTATCTACTTATTCTACTTTTCTCTCTGCCCCTGGTGCCACGCCCATGTATCTACTTGTTCTACTTTTCTCTCTGCCCCTGGTGCCACGCCCATATATCTACTTGTTCTACTTTTCTCTCTGCCCCTGGTGCCACGCCCATGTATCTACTTGTTCTACTTTTCTCTCTGCCCCTGGTGCCACGCCCATATATCTACTTGAAGTTCTACTTTCCTCTCTGCCCCTGGTGCCACGCCCATATATCTACTTGTTCTACTTTTCTCTCTGCCCCTGGTGCCACGCCCATATATCTACTTGTTCTACTTTTCTCTCTGCCCCTGGTGCCACGCCTATATATCTACTTGAAGCTCTACTTTTCTCTCTGTCCCTGGTGCCACGCCCATATATCTACTTGACGTCCTACTTTTCTATCTGTCCCTGGTGCCACGTCCATATATCTACTTGACGTCCTACTTTTCTCTCTGCATCTGGGAACACGCCTATGTTCTACTTTTCTCTTGGCGCTACATTGGTAAAATCCACGCCCATATATCTACTTGAAGCTCTACTTTTCTCTCTGCCCCTGGTGCCACGCTCGTCTATCTACTTGAAGTTTAAGTTCTACTTTTCTCTCTGCCCCTGGTGCCACGCCCATATATCTACTTGACGTCCTACTTTTCTCTCAGCATCTGGGAACACGCCTATGTTCTACTTTTCTCTTGGCGCTACATTGGTAAAATCCACGCCCATATATCTACTTGAAGCTCTACTTTTCTCTCTGCCCCTGGTGCCACGCTCGTCTATCTACTTGAAGTTTAAGTTCTACTTTTCTCTCTGCCCCTGGTGCCACGCCCATATATCTACTTGACGTCCTACTTTTCTCTCAGCATCTGGGGACACGCCTATGTTCTACTTTTCTCTCGCGCTACATCGGTAAAAGCCACGCCCTAACCTCCCCGCTTAGGGCCGCCTCCTGTTGCTTAGTGACGGCCAGGAACACCTGTTCCAGGTTCGTCTTTTGGATGAAGTACGAGCTAACCTTCAGCTTCTCCTTGTTGTGTTCCATGAAGGAAAACAGCCCGCCCAGGCTGATGCTGGATTGTGGGACCTGGAAGACGACATAGCCTGCATGCTCGTCGAACACCTGTAGAATACCACGACAGAGGTGAACGGGAGGAAACGGTCAAATTTGTGGTGCAATTTTTTAAAAAAGTTTGACTTTAAAGTTGTGGGACGGCGTAACTTAGCGGTAGAGCGCTAGACTGCTAACACGAAGGTCTCGAGTTCGAATCCGGGCTCAAGTCCTGAGTTCACACAGCTCTGATGGGTACTAACTCACGTTAGGGAGAGTAAAGGCGGCTGGGCATAGTGCTGACCACATTATCCCTTCATATTCCGAGGTCGCAGAAACGGGTGAAATCTACTCAACTTTCCCCATAGACCGTCAGGTTTGAAACGGAGCTTTACTTACTTCAACAAGTTAAAAGATCACGTCAAGTTAAGTAAATTAACAACAATAGAATATTCCACTTATCAAAAACAAATCAACTCGCGCCCCAACTCCCTCCGGATTACACAACATTGGATATAAAACCCTCTCTTAACGGTGCGAAACAAACATTTTACCGTCGCTTTCTGTAGTTTAGCCAGTACGTATTCAATGACCTCTTGGGTGTCACTCAGCTGACCATCCTGCTCGTGGGGCAGCTGTACCGTTATCGTGTAGTTTTTACCGAACTTTTCCTTCAGATTTTCAGGCGAACCCAGGCAGTTGAACTTCCCGTTGACCATAATGGCCAGGCTTGTACATAGCGCCTCGCATTCGTCCATGCTGAAATAAAGCATGGGTTGGATGTTGGACTATTGCATAGGAAATAATCCTCCATGAGTTATATGTTGAAATAATCAATGGGTTATATGTTAACAAAAAAACATGGGTTATATGTTAACAAAAAATACATGGGTTATATGTTAACAAAAAATACATGGGTTATATGTTAACAAAAATACATGGGTTATATGTTAACAAAAAATACATGGGTTATAAGTTATATGTTAACAAAAATACATGGGTTATATGTTAACAAAAAATACATGGGTAATATGTTAACAAAAATACATGGGTTATATGTTACATTTTCAAGTCCGAATAGAGATTCAAACACAGAGTTGGGTGGACTCAGGACGCCCTAGAGTAATAAGCCCGAACCAAGATTCGAACTCGAGACCTTCGGTTAGCAGCCAAACACTGCCATTCGACCACTGAGATGGGTGGACTCAGGGACGCTCTAATAAGCCCGAACTGAAATTCGAACTCGAGACCTTCTACTTTTCGACCACGCCGTCCCATTCAATTCCATGAAGTCAATATATTTCCTCACATTTAACACCTAATACATCGTCTTACCTGCGTTTCACAACAAACCAGTGTTCTTCTGAAAAAAGATCCCTAGGATGATTTAAAATGCGGCACTGACCTGTGTGACGTCAGCACCATGGTACACCCAGCATCCCTCACGGTGGTCAACAAGTTGGACAGCTTCCTCTTGGCATTGATGTCCATGCCGGAGGACGGCTCGTCCAGCATGATGTACGAGGGGTACCCAACAAGGCTGATGGCAACCGTCAACTTACGCTTGTTGCCTCCGCTAAAATTGATTGGGTCATTACATTTGATTGGATGTGATGTCAACAGATTGAATGTCCCCCGTTGAGGTGAGCGCATCTCCACCCCACCCCCCTCCCCAACAACTCCCCCCCCCCTCTATGATGTATAGTATCCTGTCATGCTTAATGATGTGTTCATCAGTTTTAATTATAAATTAATCTTGTGTTCGAAACTACCCTCCGCCCGGTACGATAAGGGGGAAAATCGTATGGAAGTTTAAATTGAAATTGAGTCGATAGTGGGTGTGGTAACAGCTTGAAAGGTGTGAAGGTTATCGAAGAGGGGGGGGGGGGTTCTAGCATCCATTGGGCAGCAAAGAGAAAGTATAGAGAAAGTATAGGAGCTACGCCAGGGCATGTTGTACCTATTAGAGGGGGTGGGGCATTAACTAAAAAGGCGTGGCATTTCCTGAAAGGGGTGTGGCATCTAAACGGAGGGAGCGATGCAGCCTGGGACAGCAGCTACGCGAGGGTGTTATGCAGCCATCGGAGGGAGTGTGCCATCAAATGAAGAGGGTGGGATAGCTACAGATAGCGGGCGTGGCATCAACCGGTGTTAGTGTTGGTGCCATTGGACGGGGTATGGCATCCAGTGGCGTAGCGAGGTCGTGTGTCACCCGGTGCGGCACTTAATGGTGTCACCCCCAGAGGCGTAGCGACCCTTCCTGGGGACAAACTTTCAATTTTCTATTTGCATCTCCCCCCCCCCCCCCCCTTTCAAACTTTTGATTTGCACCACTCCCCTCAAACTTTCGATTTGCACCTCTTAAAAGACTATTTAACACTCGAATTAATCACTTAATTAAGTGGAATTATTATTTTTCTATATATATTTTGTTATTTTTACCTTGGTGTCACCTCCCTAAATGGTGTCACCCGGTGCGGGCCGCACCCCCCCCCCCCTTCGCTACGCCCTTGATGGCATCTACTTGAGGGACATATATACTCACTCCCTACCTCTCTCTATCTCTCTCCCTCACACATATTAGATCTAGTATTTGACTAAAATAGAGAATCGTTTTATCACCTGTACAAGCCGGACATTTTGTCCGCGTGGGGCGTCAGTGTGACGTAACGAAGGAGGCTGGTGACGTGGGCTTCGATGACCGACTCCTCGATACACCGGAGGCGAGCGTACATGGTCAGCGTCTCCCGGCCAGTCAACTGGTCAATCAACGGGTTGTGCTGGGGGCAGTAACCCATGTGGGCCCAAATCTGGGTCAAAGCGGAAATGGTAATCACGTAAGGGGGGGGGGGCAGGAACGGTAGGAGTCAAGAACAAGAAACAGAGAAAAGACAAGTAAAAGTAGAAGTTTTTAAAAAAAGATTGAAGAAAAGGAGCAACTCGACGGGAACAATACTAAAAACGGTACTAGGAATGACAAAAATAAATGGGAAGTATGTAAGTTAGCCATGAACAGCAATAGAGATGACAAAAAACAACGAGAAAGCACTAGAAACAAGACAGATTGGAAATAGCTTTTTACACAAAAATAGTAAGAAACATAATAAATATGGTAAGAAAAAAAGGCCATTAAAAAAAACGTAATGAAAACAAAAATAGTAAAGAAAAATCAGAGGTTGAAAATTTCAGTAGATATACTTTAATATTACCAGTTTACCCCACCCACCTTCACACACACACACACACACACAAAAGCAATCCCGCTAAAACAGCTTTGTATAAACATTTGGTCAGAATCTCACAAATATGTGACATCATTTATCGAGCCCCCCCCCCCTCCCCCAACACCAACCCCCTGACTTGACTTATTTTTTGAAGCCCCTGAGGAGCAAAGGGTTGCAGACACACCTCTCTTTAGCTGAGCCCACGTAATCCCAGTAGCCCTTGCTTCTCCTTACACTGTCCTTCTCCAGTGTTTCTTCAACATTTTCCGGGGTGGGGGGGGGGGGCAGACACTGGTTAAAGTATATGTTTTCTATATAAATTCCATGTCTTTCGGGGGGGGGGGGGGTAGACTTTCTTCGGGAGAGATGCCTGGAAGAAACTCTGTCCTTCTCCAGGACTACTTCTCTCAGCCTACTTTTCTTTTCCCAGGGGGGTTCAGCCCCAACCCCCTACCCCTCACATCAGCTAAACGTACAAAGCTCATGTGCTCGTGGATACTCAAGCCGTTGATGAACGCCGTCCCGACGGTGCAGTCCTCGTCCCCCGTGAGTATTTTAAACAGCGTCGATTTCCCGGCACCGTTCATGCCCAGCAGACCGAAGCACTGGTGGCTGGGCACCCCCACACAGATCTGCAGCACGGCCGGGAAGTCGCCGTATTTTTTTGTCACGTTGACCAGTAACAGGGAGTCTGGAAGAGATGGGTTTCTTTCAGACATTTGACTCCGGGGAAGTTTAAATTTACGTGAAAGGAGGATGGACAATGATTTAAGTATAGTTTATTTTCTATATAAAACATATTCTCTCTTCCGGAGCGGTAGACTTGATTTTTCGAGGAGGGGTGGGGGGGGGGGAGGCACATAGATGCCTGAAAGAAACTCAGAATAGGAGGCAAAAGATGATGGCGTTTTGTTGTACGTTTTTGTTTCTTTAATTGTATTTTAAAAAAAGTTAACGTTGCAATCTGCGTTCTATGTGTGTTAAAGTAAAGGGAAGGAGGGGGGGGGGGGGCTATTACAAAAGACGAAGGTTGTCTAATTTTTAAATAAATTATAACTTTAGCGATCATGATTTAACTGATCAGAAAATGAAACGTTACAACACACCGAATGTTTAAGAGACAAATAGAAGGTTAACTATACGAGTATCTACTTCGATAAGTGCTTTCTGAATAATAAGTGACCAATGGATGGCCATTAACCGTAACAAATCAGATGTTAATGACTCGTTAAAGGTAATACATCAAGGGTTAATGACTCGTTAAAGGTAATACATCAAGGGTTAATGACTCGTTAAAGGTAATACATCAAGGGTTAATGACTCGTTAAAGGTAATACATCAAGGGTTAATGACTCGTTAAAGGTAATACATCAAGGGTTAATGACTCGTTAAAGGTAATACATCAAGGGTTAATGACTCGTTAAAGGTAACAAATAAGTTCTAAATGACTCGTTAAAGGTAACTAATAAGATGTTAATGACTCGTTAAAGGTAACAAATAAGTTCTAAATGACTCGTTAAAGGTAACTAATAAGATGTTAATGACTCGTTAAAGTTAACAAATCAAGGGGTATGACTCTTTAAAGGTAACAAATAAGGTGTTAACGACTCGTTAAAGTTAATAGATTAAGTGTAGTTATGTACTGTAAAGTCAGGTTCAAAAGGCTCGTTTATGTTAACAAATGAGTAACTAACCAGTAGCTAGTAAATCCCCTATTGTCGACTCGTTGATACGTCGGCGTTCTTTCGCCACATCCTCATCCTCTTTCTCGACTGGATCCCCACCTGCAGCAGATGGAATAGTGGATCCGCAGCAAACAACTCTGTGGGGGGGGGGGGAGGGGGGAAGAGAAAACGAGAAAATTTTCTTCACAGTGGCGTCACTGTGTTATAACACCAATAGACGGAATGAACGAATGAATGAACAAACGAGTGCACCCCCCCTCAAACTTTCGATTTGCTACCCCCCCCCCTCAGGATTTCGATTTGCACCCCCCATCAACTTCGATTTGCACCCCCCTCAAGCTTTCAATTTATTTTTCCAACCCATTCTGGCGCCCCCTAAGGTCGGCGCCCGGTGACATATGTCCTCCTGCACCCCCCCCCTCGCTACGCCTCTGCATTGGAGGCTTTCTATTGACTATAAACCGGATTCGAACTCGAGACTTTCGGGTGAGCAGTCGAGCGCTCTACTCCTAGGCCACGCCGTCCCATGTATTACCTGTAAAACTTACCCTAATTTAAGCTCTATCAGCAACAAGAGAACGAAGTACACACATCCTTGCAGAAACATGAAGATCAAGTACTTTCCGACCCCCGGAAAACGCAGCGACGCGTAATTCGTCTCGAAGTGCATGCAGTCCGTATGCGCTCGACACCCATCTGAAACCAAGTCGACGGATTCTTAGTACAAGTGTCTGACAATGTACGCTTTTAAAATAGGGTAGAAGCAGTGGCGTAGTAGCCAGGTTCGTCTCATTGTAGGGGGGGGGGGGGGCATAGACCACCAGATTCGAATGGGCAACATTACTTTTTTTTATATACTTTTTTTTTAAAATATATAAATAATGGACTCTCAATTATCTTAATATCTTCTTATTCTTGGTCTTGTTCAACTCCCTGGAGATAGTAGGCCATTTACAATCTATTATTCTTACTATACCAGCCATGATGTTTCATTTTTTGGTATTAATATTTAATCATAAAAAAAAAAAAATTAAAAAATTTACAGTCAGGGACAGACGACACCCCCCCCCCCCTCCCTTCACTCCCCACCTTGCGCCGCCACCGCCTAATTTCTTCATTCAACCAGCGTTCTGGAACCACATACCTTTACAACACGGCGATGCCTCCCGGCCACAATGAGGCAGCACGCTCTGGCACGCCTCTATCAGATAGAAGTTCATGTACATCGCCAGGAGACACGTCGACAGGCACCCGGTGGGGAGAAAGAAATTAAAGTTGTCCACGCTCTGTCTCGTGGCCTTGAACGACGAATGACCCTCTGCCGGTATAAATAGTTTTATACTATCCTCAAGTCCATTGGCTGCAAGCGGAAATTCAAAGCGTCTATTTTTAGATATATTTACTAAGAAGGGAAGTGCTTATTTAGGCAAATGGTAGAGGAACACGCAAGGTGCTTATATATTCGTGTACCCTCTTATGTGAGAGGAAATAAGCAGTTTATTTCCTTGAAAGAATGTGAGACTATATTAGCACCTTGCATATTTCCTCTAAGACGAAATTGTGGAAAAAAAACGAATCTACGTAAACTGCAAAAATGCAGCTAAATCGACATTTTAATTTGTTTTTACAACCCATTTTGGCGCCCCCTAAGGTCGGCGCCCGGGGACATATGCCCCCCCCCCTGCCCCCCATCGCTAAGCCTCTGACGTAAAATACGACAAAGGATACTTATTTCATTAATTCAGTTATACATTCTTAATATTAGCTCTGATAAAATCAATATTATTATTTTCTTAGACTCAAACTAGACATAACCCAGCCTTAACCCTAATCCCTATCCTTAGCACCGAACCCCAAAAATAACCACTAATTCATCAGTATCCAAGAATCATCTAGAACTTCACATCTTGAAATCAGTGACGGATAAAGTCGGAGACTTGTTGGGTTGTAAATAGAAGCCTGAATTTTATAACTTAACTTTAAAAATATGTCAACAGTCCATGACATCTGTAATCAAAGAGGGCAAAGATCAGAGTTTCTTTCAGACATTTTTACTTAAGGTGGGGGCACTTAATATAGGGGGCGGGGGGGGGGGGGGGGGGGTAACCACACTGGTTAAAGTACATTTTTTCTATATAATTCATATTTTTTTTCTTTCAGAGAGAGGTTAGTGTGTGTGTCCTCACCCCCTTCCCCCCACCCCCACACAGATATGCTTGAATGAAGCTTTAGCTGAGATTTTTAAAAAATCATTTCCAACCTAACGCGCCCCAGTGGTGTTTCTTTCAGACTTTTTTTCTCCGTGTGAAAAGGGGGGGGGATGCGGACACTGGTAAAAGTATATATTTTCGATATAATTTCTATTTGATTCGGGGTTGGGGGGGGGGGGGGGGGGGAGACGACGACGGACGTTCTTCGGGGCTACGCCACCGTGAAGACATGCCTGAAAGAAACTCTGCGTCCCCAAGCAGAACGTACACAGGGCAAAGGTCAAGAACACCACACTGACGACGGCGACGATGTTGTCGGAGCAGGTGTACTGGAGGATGTAGAGTAGGGGCAGGGTGGCCCAGAAGTAGAGGAGGAACACGGCGAACAGCAGGAAAAACCGGAAGTCGCCGGTGTACGGCAGGACGTTGAGAACGGTGAACACAAGCACGACAAGGGCCATGGCGACCGACGTGATGAACAGGTCCCAAAGGAGGTTCGGCAGCCAGAAGGTCAAAGGGCGGACTCCGCAGACGACTTGCATGTGTTTGGCGCCAACCTATGGTGGGGGGAAAAAGTAGTGTTACGTTTTTTATTTTCATTAACCTTAACAGAAGAAAAAGCGTAAAAATGTAAGCAGGAAAAAGCATTACGTTTTCTTAACGAACTTTTAGGGTTGTCCGTAAATGACGTCACAATTATGAGGAAGAGGGAGGGGTGTAATTTTGCGACGATAAGTGATGAGGGGGAGGTTCAGATATTATATACGTCACACTCTAACATGTAAAAAGTAATTTTTGCCATTATTTCGCGTTTTATAAAACTGTTTTAATAATTTGTAATAGCAATTGATTGAAATACTCTGTTGACCGATGTTAGTTAATATATCAGAAAGATCATCTGCAATTTTTTTAAAGAGAGTCTTAGTCTGTGACGTCATTTTGGGGGGGGAGGGTTCTAGCTTTTTGTGACGATGTGTGATGGAAAGGAGGAGGGGAGGCAAAAATCGTCAAAAAAAATGGCGTGATGGCATTAATGGATGACCCTTTGAGAAAAAAAAAGTGTTAAAATGTTAGTAGCATACATTATTTACATTATTCCACCAACAGTATAAAAGTAAAAATAATGTCTAAAAAACAAAATGCTAGCAGTAAACTGGGTTCTAGACCAGTGGCTCACGTTTTTCTAAGGACCCGAACATCGAGAAATGAAAATATTAAGGGGAGACACAAACAGTAAGACTTTTAAATGTAACTGTGTAATTTCAAGCTCCAAATCGGAATGGGGGGGGGGGTAACTTTTTCAGCTAAGTTCTTCGAGTGGGATGTGGAAAGGTGGGGGGGGGGGGAGGGGGGCGCAGGTTGTAATTAATATTATATTTAAGTCAGTGCCGGCGCCAGGTTATTTAGCGCCCTAGGCAAAACTTATTAATTCGCCCCCTTTCACACAAATTAATTACTAAAACATATGCATAAGAAAACAATTAATTAAAAGTGACATATTAATTTATTATCAATTGCATACGCGTTATAAGTAGACATCAAAATCATATTTTACTTGCCTCCTTCGTCTCAAAAGTTTGTTCTAATTGCTTCAATTCCAGTTTGCAAGCGTAATCACATTTTATTGAAATTGTTGCTAAGTGTACGAGTCTACTTTGTACTTTACGACATAGCCCCCCTCCCTCCCCCCTTAGAACATTTTAAGTGCTCCTACCCTCCCGGGAGAAAAAAGTCTGGAAAAAAAAACCACTCAATAAAAAATGTTCTTATAGTGTTGAGCTCCCTGCAGTCCTCCCAAGGTAAATTTTAAAACGGAACTTACCTGTTTTAAGCTTGACCGTCTTTAGTTATAATTGTTAAATGTCTATATTGTGCGATTATGTAACGATTTTTTGGTTTATGAAAACTAAAGTTTATAAATAATATAGATTCCAATCTAAAATTGTTATATATGAATACTTTAGGAGAGGATGAAAAATATGAAAAGATAATTAAATGTTTAATTTACGACTGAATGTCTACTAACATTAAGTATTGCAACCTATAACGGCTACTGATGTATTTGTTTTTCAACTTGATTATGCTAAAAAAAACCTACCAAACTATTTTGTTTAGAACTTAAGCTCTATATAATTTTTACAATAGTAAATAATAACTTAAAGCTGTATTTATATGTAAGCGGTTAACCTAAGGTGCAGGAATTTGAAATGAATGTAAAGTTAAGCAACGAATTATCTCCCATATGAAAATCCAAATAACAAAATTTTATTCAAGGGAAATAGCTTTAACAAGAATAGCTAAATTAACCAAGTGTAACTAAGACATGCCTGAAAAGCACAATACAACGCTCTAAATTTTATTACGTAATAATTATGTCAATTTTTTTATATTAGCTATGTAACCTTGTAAAAACAATATATTTTACCAATTGAATACTTAACTATAGGTTTTGTTTGAAAGTCTAAAAGCAATAACTTTATTACAACACACTTCCATTCAATTTCGATGACATTCTCTATAATGCAAAGTGTGGAAATGTATAAATGTAAAATTTTGGATCCCTTTTATAAAGGGACGTATTTTAATTAAAAAATCAAAAACGGGTAACTATTTGAGACATTGTTAGAATTATTGATTAAATATAAAAATTGTGAACGAAAAAAAAAAACGATTATGGTCAGTTATAAATTCCATCCAATTTAATAATATATATTAATACTTTTAGAGTGGTAATATAGATTCCTAAAAAACTAAATATTTTTCAGCTAGAGAACGCCTACCTTTCTTTGTAGTGTGTTCCGTACTGAATAGTAATCATCTAACTTACGATAAACTCGACTACTCGATATACTCTACTACATTCACAACACATATCAAACTTCGATACCTAAACATAACTAGACTCGATGCTCCAGAACTACGACACCAACTCGTTTAACTTCACCAAGTTCTACAAACGGTACTCCTAACCAACAACGATTTCACTGGACCTTCTACTACACTTTAACAATCAATATAATTCGATACCTTAATACCACAAGAATCAATACTCCCGAACTCCAGAACTACGATACTTCATCACCTGTATTCCCATTTCTCTATTACCAATCAGATTCCACTAGACCTTCAACTACACAACAGCCGAATAAAAATAACGCCACTTTAACACTTCGATACTTTATACCTACGAAACCATATCAGCAACAGCCTTCCGCCGTTACTACCAAATCTAAACAATTCATCAAAACTTACCAAAAAAAAAAAGAAAATTCATAAAAAAAAACGTTTTAATAACAAGCTTTTAGGTAATAATGCACTAAAAGGTAGAAAATAAATTATACACTACTATTTAAATTACTATAAAGAAAAGCGTGGGTCACTTAATTACCTATTGGATACCTTTACTAATATTTGAGAGGAGACCGCCTAGTTCACCTTATAGGTAGCGCCGGCCCTGATTTTAGTACAAATATTATTCAAATAACGAGTAACAGGGGGATAGATATAGACATTTGTGACGTCAATGTATGGGGTGGTGGTAAAGGTCTGTTTTTTGTGTTACGATACGCTGAAAGGGGAGGAGGGGGGTGGTTATAGTTTTTAAATAATGCGTTATATCAATGTTGGGTTGATAAAGTTTTATTTTACATGTGCAGTGCTCATTAATACTAATAGTTTCGCTGTCTGTCTATCTATCTATCTATCTATCTATCTATCTATCTATCTATCTATCTATCTATCTATCTATCTATCTATCTATCTATCTATCTATCTATCTATCTATCTATCTATCTATCTATCTATCTATCTATCTATCTATCTATCTATCTATCTATCTATCTATCTATCTATCTATCTATCTATCTATCTATCTATCTATCTATCTATCTATCTATCTATCTATCTATCTATCTATCTATCTATCTATCTATCTATCTATCTATCTATCTATCTATCTATCTATCTATCTATCTATCTATCTATCTATCTATCTATCTATCTATCTATCTATCTATCTATCTATCTATCTATCTATCTATCTATCTATCTATCTATCTATCTATCTATCTATCTATCTATCTATCTATCTATCTATCTATCTATCTATCTATCTATCTATCTATCTATCTATCTATCTATCTATCTATCTATCTATCTATCTATCTATCTATCTATCTATCTATCTATCTATCTATCTATCTATCTATCTATCTATCTATCTATCTATCTATCTATCTATCTATCTATCTATCTATCTATCTGTCTGACAAGAACGCTCTAGAGAAAACACAAGGAAATTAAAAACTCTCACAGTGAAACGAAAGACGAAGTATGACGCGGTCACATTTAGCATAGAGTAGAACATAATCTCAAACCAGAGAGTGCACACAGTAATATAATGACGTCATTGATTATCGCGTAAACATTGAATAAAAAGGAAATGTTGTCTAATCTAAATGGTTTGCGTGAAGAGTTTCTTGCATACAATTCTTCGTGTAGGGGCGAAGCCCCACCCCACGCGTAAGAACGTCTGAGCCCCCCCCCCCCCCCTCCCCAACTCAAAAGAAATTTCTTCATCGATACTCTATAATAAAATTACCGCCTAATTAATGTGTCTAATCTAAAAAGTGGTTTTCTTGCAATTTCTTTAATGCAATTCTTCGGGTAGTGGCTAAGCGCGACACCAGTGTTTCTTTCAGACTTTTTCCTCCCCGGAGAGGGGTGGGGGTAATTGAAATTTTCGGGAGCGGGGGTAGAATTTTCGGGAAGGGGGGCGGACACTGGAAAAAGTATATAATTATATTTCGTTGAATGGGACGGTAGACATGATTTTTTTGGGAGTGGGGGGTGGGGGGTAGGGGGTGGGGGGGTGGGAGTGGTGTGTGTGTGGGGGGGTGGGGGGGTGGGGTGGGGTGGTTTCCTCATCGATACTCTATAATAAAATTACCGCCTAATTAATGTGTCTAATCTAAAAAGTGGTTTTCTCGCAATTTCTTTAATGCAATTCTTCGCGTAGTGGCTAAGCGCGACACCAGTGTTTCTTTCAGACTTTTTCCTCCCCGGAGAGAAGTGGGGGTACTTGAAATTTCCGGGGGCGGGGGTAGAATTTTCGGGGAGGGGGCGGACACTGGAAAAAGTATATAATTATATTTCGTTGAATGGGACGGTAGACATGTTTTTTTTTTAGGGAGGGGGGGGGGTGGGGTGTGTGTGTGTGGGGTGGGGGGGGGGGGATGGGATGGTTTTAATTTAGACTTTTTCCTCCCTGGAGAGGGGTGGGGATACTTGAAATTTTCGGTGGCGGGGGTAGAATTTTCGGGGAGGGGAGCGGACACTGGAAAAAGTATATAATTATATTTCGTTGAATGGGACGGTAGAAATTTTTTTTTGGGTGGGGGGGTGGGGTGGTGTGTGTGTGGGGGGGGGGGTGGTGTGTGTGTGGGGGGGGGTGGTGTGTGTGGGGTGGGGTGGGGTGGTTTGTGTGTTGGGTGGGGTGGGGTGGTTTTAGTTTAGACTTTTTCCTCCACGGAGAGGGGTGGGGTACTTGAAATTTTCGGGGGCGGGTGTGTGTGTGTGGGGGGGGGGGTGGGTTGGTTTTAGTTTAGAGAAAAGAGACAGCACTATCAGGTGTGTGGGGGGGGGTGGGGGGGGCGGTGTGTGGGGGGGTGGTGTGTGGGGGTGGGGGGTGGTGTGTGGGGTGGGTGGGGGGGGGGTGGTGTGTGGGGGGTGAGTTGGTTTTAGTTTAGAGAAAAGAGACAGCACTATCAGCCTAGCGCCCTTTGTACCCTTCCTCAACGGGCCATTTTTCTCGTAGCAATATATTTCGAGAAATGGCCTATATATGCCACACATTGCTGACTTGTTATAATTGCGAATTTGGTGCAAATCATTTAGCCCTTACATAGTGTGATATAAGCTTATAACGTGTGTGTGAAAATAAAAATAAAATAAAATACAGATTTTACTGTATATATTGGTTGACAATCCCCTATTGGGTACTGACGGCTTCGCTAATTACTAGATCTAATAATATATTTTTCGAAGCTCAAAGGCTAATTTCATTATTGGCAATGCGTAATATTCTTACAGATTTAATTAGCCAACCCAGCGAACATGTAAGTAAAAATTATTTCTAGAACAATTTGAAAATAAATTTTTAAAAATAATTACCTTTTTCTCCATAATTAAAAAAACTAGTGTCAGAGACTTAAAGATGGCGACCACGGCAAGTATCAGCCATACCACACACTGTGCTGTCGTCGTTTTTTCTTTCCACGTCTCTATCGTTTGGCCAGCGGTGTTAGGTAACGGCTTGACCCCCGTCAGGACGCTGATGTTGGTCTTTAGGTAATACTTGAGGAGGGCGTTGAGAGCATAGTTCATCTGGAATGTGTGAGTTGACAACAGATTAGAAAGTACAATTCGAGAGCATAGTTCACCTACAATGTGTGAGTTGACAATAGATTAGATGGCAAAATTTGAGAGCATAGTTCATCAGCAATGTGTGGGTTAACAACAGATTAGATAGCAGAATTTGAGAGCAACTGATTAGAAAGTACAATTCGAGAGCATAGTTCACCTGCAATATGTGAGTAACGACAAACTGGATGGCAGAGTTTGGTGCGGTGAGTTATAGAGATTAATGCATGGTTCATGTTAGGCCAAAACACATTTAGAAAAGATCAGTTGATAGTGAAGCAAAAAAAGCCGGAAAGTCATGGACCCAACTTGGTGGAATTGCACAAAACCGAGTACCACGGAGAGGTGTAGCCGCGTTTCTACGCAACGATTTACTGACTGGTAAGTTAAAGGATAACGGTATTGCCTTATACAATACTTACAGATATAGGCATTTGCTGATAGGCAATATAGATATTGGCATTGACTGAAAGGCAACTTACAGATAATGGCATTGACTGATAGGGTACTTACAGATATCGGCATAGAGTGGTAGGCATTCCTGTTGTACAGTACAGTCAAGGTATGGATTGAAAGTTTGTCAGCAACTTCAGGCTTCTCTGTAGTAGCCGCCAGCCCTATGAGGACTTTCTCGTTGAACTTCCTAAGTCCGAACACCTCGACTAGTTCAAGTGCGTACGCGTCAACGTTCTGAAATTTCATCAGGAGGAAAGTACTGAAGTTGTGGATGGTGCGATTAATGCGGCCAAAGGAGATGTAAAGAACACAAGTTGTCTGTAGCATAATTAGTCTATAGCACAAGTTGTGGACAGCACAAGCTGTCTAAAGCACAAGCTGTCTATAGCATAATTAGCATATAGCACAAGTTGTTTATAGCACACGTTAAGATGTCTATAACACAAGCTTTGAAAAGCACATATTGTCTATAGCACATATCGTCTATTTCACAAGTTGTTCATAGCACAAGTTGCCTATAACTCAAGTTGTCTATAGCACAAATTGTCCATAGCACAAGCTTTAAAAGCACATATTGTCTATAGCACATGTCTATCTCACAAGTTGTCTATAGCACACATATTCTTTATAGCACAAGTAATTTATTGCATAAGTTATTTTCAGTACACGTGGTCTATTTCTCAACTGGTCGATAGCACAAGCTTTCTATAGCACAGGTTATCAATAGCACATGTTGTCTGCAGCTAATACATTAGCAGTGTACGGCTGTCGACCAGAGGCGTAGCGACCCCTCCGGCGCCCGGGGACAAATTTTCAAATTGCACCCACCCCCCTTCAAACTTTCGATTTTCACCCCCTAATCAAACTTTCTTTCGATTTTGCACCCCCCCCCCCCCCTCAAACTGTTTATAATGCAAAAATGCAGCTAAAATGACATTTTAATTTAATGTTACAACCCATTTTGGCGCCCCTTAAGGTCGGCGCCCGGGGACATTATGTACCCCCCTGCCCCCCCCCCCCCCCCCCATCGATACGCTTCTGCTGTCGACAACATATCTCTAGCAACAACCGTCATCACCAGCTCACCGTTATAGACAAGAACTTCGGCTGGTGATCGTAGTAAAACTGCACCGCGTACATGCATTGATAAAACTTTTCCACCTCAGGTCCGTAGAGTGAGAAAAACGGCACGATGGTCTCATCATACGTGCCCAGGTCAAACATCAACGTCGGCTCCTCCGGGCATTCCAGAAGAGTAGCGACAGGCCAACCGTGACGGCCAGGGGTGGGAGAGCACCTGGCCAGGGTCACGCTTGGGTTACGGAGTGAGTACATTATCCTCTTGATGAGCATGGCCCGGACTTTGGTGACTAGAATCTTCCCAGGTTGGGTGTGTTTAGGGATGGTCGTTTGGAAATCTGAATCAAATAAATACAGCGAAGATGGATTAAGGTTTAGAGAATAATCACTTGCATGGTTATTTAATCTTTTAACAGCTTTTCCTTCTCTTTTGAAATACACATTTTCTCGAGTTAATATCCTAATCTCCTACATAAACCTAAATCAATAGTTATTTATGAAAATATCGATATCTTATTCTTATGTTTAATATAAAAACTTTACAAGTTAGAAACGCCGAAACTTAACCAACTTCTGACGGACTTAAATTTTTAGCGCAATTTCCATACTGACAATTGCGATTATTAACTCGTCATTTCTGGATGGATGAATGAATGAATGGATGGATGGATGTGTGTCCGCAGCTTTAAGTCGTATCTCCTCCTCAACGAAGCAATATCGAGGACTAGTTCCAAAAGCAAATATGTTAAGCAAGTTCCGAGGATGATTGTGGGCCAAAAAATGTCCGGAATTTCTTCCTGGATTTCCCGGAAAAAGCCAAAAAACCTCTAAAAAATGCAGTTTTTGGCCCATATCTCGGCAACCAGACCACTTAGCGACTTGAAACATTTACCAATCGATTCCTGCCATAATTGAGAACAATATTGCCGAAGAAAGTTTTCAAAAATATCCTTTCGTTCGGTCACAAAAAATTAATTAAGAATTTTTAAACTGAGCATCGTGTAGGCCTAGGATGATATTTTTAATTTAAACTGAGCATCGTGTAGGTTTTTAGCGCAAAAAAATATCCTTTCGTTCGGTCGCAAAAAATAAAAAATTGTTATGGATAACATAAGGAAATTGCGCTTAAATTGTCACTAGACTTTTTATTAACTTGTTTTTGGTAACTTGGTAAAGAGAAGGTTAGGCGTAAATGCAAATTTCATGTTGACCGCTTTAATAATTAAAGGTTTCATCGCAAATCCAATAATTAATTAAACTACCATCTACTGTGTTTACCAATAAATAACCAGGGACATTTAAGCCTTATCTAAATTGATTTCCCGAATTGAATGAATACAATACATTTGTGTTGGAATTAACACACACAAAAAATAAAAATAACCGCCAATAATGTTTTGAAAGCGTTTTATACTTTTAGAAATTAAACGGAAAATAAATTAGAATTTCTAAAGTAATAAATATATTTTCACTTTGATAACACTGGAATAAACCATCGTTAAATACAAAAATAGTTAAGTGGCTGATTTTAACATATAAATTAATAAGATGCTTTGTAAAACTAGTTAGGTTTTGGTGAACTAATTAACCTTTGACGTAGAGGTTCTGGGAAAGTGTGTCTTCAGTGAGGATCTTTGTTTCACAGGCGCTGAAAAAAAATATGGCACGTGATTAGTTCACATGTGTCAACAAGAAGTGAATCAGTTGTAAAGATGGGGCGGCGTGGTCGGCAGGAAAGCGTATGATTGCTCTCCAAAAGTCCTAAGTTTGTTCCCGGCTAGATGACGCTCGTTAGCTGGGGAGAGCAACTCAACTGGAAAACTCCAAACATCTGCCTTGCGCATTGTTCTTCTGTGAACAAAGGCTGGAAAGCAGACCAGGAAAGTACAGCAGATGGAAGTCGGAGATTGCTGACCAAATATCGCATGGTATGTTGACACATACTGGTGATGGGGGAGATCCTACCCGGTCATAAGGGTAGGCGAAATATTTAGGGGAAATAATTGAATTAAATATTAATAAAATTAATCTGGGATATTGAGACTTTGTATTGTTTCAACGCGTCATCTTTAAGTATAAAGAAATGTAATAGGAATGCTATGGTGAATTTTGTAGCAGAGGCTAACATAAAACTATGCTATGTTATGTATAGTTAGGGTAAGGTCCAATGGGTCTTAGCTAGGTTTAGAGTTAGAGTTAAGTAAGGGCTTGCTTTGGGGTAGTTTAATTAAATCGGCGATTACGATACTAAGTATCGAATCTCTTTGGTTGCATGCCTGCTTCGGTTTTACACAGAGTTCCTTTTTACACCGATGTATGGGCTTAGACTGGGATCAAATATCAGATTATGGTTAGTTAGTAATTTTTAGGTTTAGAGTTCAAATCAGGGGCCAAAAGTTAGTTCACAAGTTGGCGGTATCACCAAAAATTTAAAAAAAGCAGCATCAATATTGCTCCTCGCTCTTCATCAACGTACTAAATTATTTATCCTTACTTTATTAATACAAGGTTGTTGTTAAAATAGCGATATCATAATAATAGCATCGATACTACCATGTTTTTCAACGAAGAACCAAAAAATCCATCTTCATGCTGTTATTAATTTACGTTACCATTAAACGAATAACCTGATAGATTTTTTTTTGTAAATGAAAGAACTAAAAAAAAAAATTCTCCCTCACGTGGTAAAGACCTCGTCTAATGTGGTGGGCTTTAGTGCCGTACCCCTCGACCCCTAGGTGGCGCTTGGCTTTGTCCAGGTTGAGAAAAAGCGCGGGAAAATACTGCGACTCGGCGTCAGGTAGCAGGAACGACATCTGCGTCCTCATCGTTCGACTCCATCTTTGCTGTATGCACGTATTGTTGGACAAAGGTCGTCAGCTGAGTGACGTCACACTTGGGTTTCTTGACCAGAACCAGATGGTAGCCAGTCCCTACCAAGGGAACAGTTTAAATGGCATACAGTGTTTCTTCCAGACTTTTTTCTCCGGGGGGGGGGGGGGGGGGGGGTTGACAAAAATTTCCGAGGGGGGGGGGCGGGGCGTACACTGTTAAAAGTAAATATTTTCTATATAAATTCCATCTATTTCGGGTGGGGGTAGACTTTCCTCGGGGGGGGGGGGGGGGGGCTAAGAGATGGCTGGAAGAAACTCTGACGGCACAACATAAAAACAACAAATAAGTTCGTAAACGACGCCAAACACACAAGGCAGTGGAACTTGAGACTTGCGTGTCGATATGCCAGGTGGGACTTAGTACATGCTTTGTGTTATTTTATTTTAATAAAATAAGAGTGATGGGATAGAGGTAAATGATTGTGATAATTTTTTTATCGGGATTCGGGGAGGGTGGGGGTTGGGGAAGGTGGGGGTGTGGGTGTGGGTGTGGGTGTGGGTCCCCTAAAAGGCATGCCGGCACTGGGGTGATTAGGGGTCCCGGGAGTCTTAAAGGCCTGACGGCATGGTAGTTCCGGAACTGTGGGAATTTTATGGGAGGGGGTGAAGAGGTGAAGGTAAAAAAGATAGTAACTGAAAGCGGCTGAAATCGTGTGGTGATATGTATAGGTGACCCCTCACTCTCGTGTACGTTAGTTGAAATTAACTCCCGAATCGTGTGTCAAGTTCCATTTTCAAACTTGACGGTCCATGGGGCAAGGGAAGTAGAGTTCACCTGTTTCCGTAACCGCGGCATAAGAAGCTGCCTTTACTTTGCCTGAAGTGATTTAGGTACCCATCAGAGCTGAGTGGTCCCATGGACGTTCTACTTACTTGAACCCGGATTCGAACTCAATACTTTCTGGTTAGCAGTCTAGCAATCTACCTCTAGGCCACGCCATCTCCTACCTAACCGAAATAGCCTACCTAACTCCAATGCACTACTTCAACAAAATGGCCTAATCAGTTTAATGAACCAACCAACCAACATGGTCTACTTAACCAAAATGGCCACACAAACACCAAAGTCCTACCTAACGAAAACAAACCTACCGAACCAAAAAATTAACTTACCTAACAACTTCTTCAAGAACGGGGTGGAACCCCCACACTTCATGATGCCGTCGACCAGCACCACCACCCGGTCACCTAGGACCTCCGCCTCGTCCATGTTGTGTGTCGTCATCAGCAGGGTGCGGCCCTTCTTGGCCTCGTTCAGCAGCTTCCAGAGGTGGCGCCGCGCCCCGGTGTCCAGCCCGGCCGTCGGCTCGTCGAGGATGACCACCTGATTGTGTCAAAATGTGTAACAAATATATGGGAGAAAAATGTGGGACAAAAATTTGGGATAAAAATGTGGGATAAAAATTCGGGACAAAAATGTGGAACAAAAATGTGGAAAAAAAGTGGGACAAAAATGTGAGACAAAAATGTAGAACAAAAATGTGCGACAAAAGTGTGGGAAAAATGTGGGACAAAAATGTGGAACAAAAATGTTGGACAAAAATGTGGAACAAAAATGTGGGACAAATATGTGGGACAAAAATGTGGAACAAACAAATACAACATAAAAGTGTAAAAAGATTTGCAACGAAATTGTATAACGAACAAATGTAACAAAAATGGATAACCTACAAAAGTAACAAAAAAGGTTAAAATGTGTAACAAAATAGTGCAACAAAAATTTATAACAAAAATGTTTAACAAAATTGTATAGCAAAAATGTCTAAATATTTTGTTCAAAAGTGACTAAGTCTAAATGACCAAAGGGACTGAGATGAAATGAAGAGAGGGACTGAAATAAAATGGCGCAAGGGACTAAGACAAAATGGCGAAAGTGACTGAAATAAAATGGCGAAAAGGGACTGAGATGAAATGTGCAAGGGACTGAGATGAAATGGCGAAAGTGATTGAGACAAAATAGTGAGAGAGACAGAGACGAAACAGTCATACGAAGACAGACAACACTATTAGACGTAAACGGCCTATATAGCCAAAATAGTGAGGCGAGGACAAGAGACAAACATGTAGCCTCGCACCTTCGAGTCCCCAATGAGGGCGATGCCGACCGAGAGCTTTCTTTGCTGCCCTCCAGACATGTTCTCGGCCAGGTAGTTCTCCTTGGCCCTCAGTCCCAGCTTCTCCAGCATGTCCGTCACTTTACTCGCGAGGTTTTTCACGCCTTTGATCTAAACGAACGGACATGCAGTGCTGACTGTATTTTCGAGAGGGGGGGGGGACTACGACGACTCATGTCGAGTAAATTTATATAAAATATGTTTTCTATATTGTTCGTCTCGTCGGGGAGTGGGGGGGGGGGGGAGTGGTAGACTTTTCTGCGTGGGGGGGGGGGGGATGAGGTCTGAAAGAAACTCTGGTAGTAGCTTAGAAGAACCTGTTGGAAATCAACTGAATCCTTTTCTCACATCCTCACTACAAAAAAAAAAATTAATTGTGCCGCCACTATTGGCTGATTAAAGACCCGGAAGCGATTGTCGGCAAACCTTCAAACTAAAACTCTATACGAAAATAGTTTTAAAAAATATTGAGCTACCCAGGTCCCTGGTACCAAACACTACTACTATACAGTGAACCCTACCCTAATTGTAACCAACTACTTTTTCAACTCTTATTAATAAAAAAAAAAAAGTAAAGTTCTCTTTCAAACATGGCGGCACACAGGGCAAGTAAAATAGAGTACACCTATTCCTGTGACCTCGGCATATGAGTAAGATACTTATCAGAGCTGGGTGGACGCAGGTACATGCTACTGACTTGAACCCGGATTCGAACTACAAATTTCCAAGTTAGCAGTCAACCGCTAGGCCACGCCGTCCCATTCTCCACTCTACAACTACCGACTAATTCAAAATACAAGGAGTCACCCATTCTATCTTCCTAGACGACATTACTCCCGCTCCGATCTCCCCCCCCCCCTTACGAAACAACATACGATTTCACCTAATATGTGCCGTTCTCACCTTCTAAGACAATATTACTCCCTCCCTCCCATTCCTTTGTGTAACCAAATATGGCCTAAGACAAATTCCCGAATGGACACTTGCCCGAATACGACAAGTGCCCGGATGGACACTAGCCCGAATGAGACAAAAGTGTCCATTCGGGTATTTGTCGCATTCCGGCAAGTGTCTTTCGGGAAAACGTCCGGCTCCCACTATATATAATTCCCCCCCCCCCCACACACACACACACATTGTACCGTTGTTACCTTGGCAAAGAACATAAGCTGTTCCTTGACGGTGAGGGGAGTTAAACAAGATATTGTGTTGAGGACAGATGGGCGAAACTGTTTCTGGCCCCTGAGATGTTGCTCACAATGTCACACCCGTCAACTAGCGCCGTGCCGCTGGTGGGTGGGATGAAACCTTCATGAAAGAAAGATTTAAACAGCATTGTAATTAGTTCTCCCCCCCCCCCCCTCATTTCTATATAGCCATTCAAGTTGGCGAATTAGCGCTTTCCCCAATTTGTATTTTGGTGTTGCATAATCAATGTAGAAACAGTTCAATCAGTATGTGAAGCAAAGTAGCAGTCTGTATAATTCCGTAATGCAGCTCAGCATGAGCCTTTTATTTTATTTTTTTTTCTATCCCGGTTTTGAGCTCCCTAGGGTCGGCGCCTAGGATGACCGCCTCCCCCGCTCTCACCCATCTGCCACACTGACTTGTAGGTGAGATGAAACATTCCAGGAAGAAAGAAAGGTAAACAGTAATGCCAATAGCCAGTATTGATCATGAATCCAGTTAAATGTTCTTGTGATGATTTATTGCGAAACTTTTTAAAGTGTTGCTTTAACCGACTCTTATGTTGAGGTTTGTTGAAAGTGTTTTTAAAATGTGTCGGCTTGTGAAGTTTTGAAGGGTATTCGTTGACTGGTGTTCCTTTACAAGGTGAATAGGTTGATAGAGATATGTTGTCACGGAATATACTGTCAGGTATTACCGGTATGATGAAAAAGGTACAGAATAACATATAATAAATTATCATCAATTAGTTTCAGGAATGTATTATGAACAGATTTGTTGTTAGTAACATATTAGAGATAAATAAAGGTAGGAATAAGTTTGCGAGAATAAGTCACCAAGAGTGTTATTAGAAATTAATAGTCAGGAATACTTCAATCATCATAATACTAGTCATCAGGCACAAGTTCCCTTACCTGCCAACAGATAGATCAGTGTAGATTTCCCTGCACCGTTTTCACCCAGCAATACTGTGATGTTATCCTCGTAGATTTCACACTGTACTCCCGCAAGTACTGTTTTTGTTCCAAATTTCTGGGTACATATGGTATGCTCGTTATTACAGAGTACAAATATCATGCTCTTTATTACCGAGTACAAATAGTATACTCGTTATAACCGAGTACAAATATTATGCTCGTTATTACCGAGTACAAATAGTATGCTCGTTATTACACAGTACAAATATTATGGTTGTTATTACCGAATACAAATATTATGCTCGTTATTACATAGTACAAATATTATGCTCGTTATTACCGAGTACAAATATTATGCTCGTTATTACCGAGTACAAATAGTAAAAAATATATTTCTAGAATGTTTTCTGATTACAAATAAACCGGGAGTGATCTCCCCTAAACTTTCTCGTATATTCTTATATAAAACAACAGGGGATGGGAACTCGGGCTATAGACATGATTTTTAATCCATTTTAAATACTTAAAGTTTTAAAAATAGAATAAAGTCTCGTAGACAAAAGAGTTGCACTCCAAGTGAACGCTAAATAAAAAAGTGCATAATAGTGCGCAATATTATTAGTACTTTAAAAATTTACATTAGTTTTTTGAGAAATCGGAAGTAGCGTAAATTACTACTTCCGGTCATCGGAAATTACTCAAAATTTGACAGAAGGTAGAAAATTAGATCTTTTACTCACATGTAAAATTTTATTTATCTATCTGAAATAGTACTCAAGCTATAGGCTTTTAAAAAATTTAAAGTAGAAAAAGTACCACTTCCGGTTATCGGAAAGTGCTCAAAAGTTGACACGGATCTACGATTTTGATAAAATACTTATATATGAAATTTCATCAACCTAGCTGTAACGGTACTCAAGTTATCGTGTTTACACACGGACAGACAGACAGACACACAGACAGACACACAGACATACGGACAGGATTGCAAAGCCCAGTTTTTTCAGAATGGATTACGCATAAAACCTCTTAATTTTGATAAATCTGGATTGATAATTTTTGCCCGATCAAAATAAGTCCTCTATACTTCGGATGTGATGAAGGACTGAGGTGTAATACGGTGAAAATTGTTAAAATTTCAAGAGATTTTTTTGCACGATTACAATACTTTCTCTATACTTCGTATATACGAGAAAGTAAAAATGAACCAGCTGGTTATTAGTAAAAAAAAAAGCTTTTTTTTTCCAAGATGGCCACCGATGCCATGGTAACCATATTGTTATTTTCAGAAGAATCCTTGATACATACACATTATTCTCCAAAAAAGTGCTGTAACTTTTATATAAACAAATAAATAAATAAATAAGCTTATTAATTAAGTGTTTTTCTTTCTTTGCAGCCTAACCCTTTAACACTATATACCCTTAAATAAACGTTTATCTGAATCAACTCGCGCTATTGATTTCTAATGCTGGTGAACCAAAAATACATTATAACTGGTTGCAGTGACGTATACAAGGGGGGTTAGGGGGAGGGGGTTATAACCCCTAGCATTGACTCACACTCATATATATATATATATATATATAATATATATATATATATATATATATATATATATATATATATATATATAATTTTATACACATGGAAAAATGTTTGAACCCCTCCCATGACCAATTCCTGGCTACGCCACTGAATGGTTGAAAAAGGAAATAGAATTTACCCTTGCACGAGGTTTGAAACAAAAATTAAAAAAACACCCACATACAACATGAACGAGATCTAAACCTATGTTAACGAAGGTACCTTAACGATGTTTCTGATGCTAATGCCAGAGTCTTGACCAGGTAGAGGAGGCTCGAAGTCCGAACTCTCAGGGACTAAGTACGGCTCTCGGGTCCTCAGATGTCCAAACCAATAGGAGGGCTAGGATGAGTACGGTCACGTGACTCAATGTATTATTACTTTACTAATAGAAAATACATTTTTTTCGACAACGTCTTAATTTTTTTTTCGAATTTTTTTTTTTTCTTTTCTTTTTTTACGCAATCGGGTAGTACAACAAGTTAGCTATCTCTTCAAACATTTTAAGACATCAAACGTCAATACCTATCCATTTATTGTTTTATTTGGAACCCGAGACTTACAGGCTATTTACATACATATATAGACTTATGATAACTTATGAAAATAAAACTACCTATTTTTACAAGTTTCATCTATTCAAGAAAATTAATTTATTTCATTCTAAAAATAAATTAAGAGGCCCATTCTACAACAAAAACTATTCATTGGAACAGTATGTAATTATTTTGTTTCATTTCCTATCCAAATTTCACTAACAAGTGTACATAGAGTAGGACCAATGACAGTCCTTTCAAGAGAGCAGCTCGGCTAAATAGTAATAAGATATCTACAACTATCTTGAACTAACCGTTAAGAAGAAATAGTAAGACTTGGCGACTCCAAGTTTACCGGGACTGATGTTTTCAAAAAACAGTCAATTGAGCAAGTAGATAAGAAGAACCAATGACAGCCTTGAACACAAACGATACCTTAGATCTTCCCTTTCTTTGCTAGATATCTGCCGCTAACTTGAACTAACCGTTAAGAAGAAATAGTAAGACTTGGCGACTCCAAGTTTACCGGGACTGATGTTCTCAAAATACAGGCCAACCAGCACGTAGATGAGAGAGTCTACAGCCAGCATGCACATGACGTCAAGGACACTCATCGCATCTTTTTTCACCCGGGGTTGAGCTATATGACTCCATTTGATGCTCTCCCCTGAAAATACCGTTTAGTTGTAATTTATGACTCCATTTGATACTGTCCCCTGTAAATACTGTTTAGCTACATAACTCAATTTAATGCTCTCCCATGAAAATACCGTTGAGCTATATGACTCCATTTGATGATCTCCCTTGAAAACACCGCTCTTATGTTTCAATTGAAACTTTTGTT